CTGGTTTCCAGGCAGATCCACTCTCTGTCTTATCAGCTGCCTGGACTCTCTGCATGGGTCTGCTAACAGCATCTTTCCTCTACTCCCATTCCTGTCTTACATCCTCTGTATAGCTGTGTCTGCTCTGTCTGAGCTTAAGTCTTGTGCTACGGTTACAGTTATTATTTGTTTCTAGTCCATATGTCCAAAGAATTCAAATTACAATACTTCCCAGATATTACCTTTTTAAAATTTGAGTCTGTGACCTGTTTTTTAACCAGACTCTAAAATGCATTGAAACAAGCAACATATATAACAGTAGCTTCTGTATATCCATTACTTTTTATAATTATCTTTTATTACAATATATACAATTTCACCAAAACTTGTCTTAACAAAGTCATATGTCCTTTCCTAATTTCTTCTCTTTTTGTGTTTGTGTCACACTAATGAAAAAAGTGTTTGCTTGTCTGCTTTTGTCTGCGTCTCTCCCCACTTTGAAAGTCTACTCCTTAACTACCTGCCCACTGCCTTGCTACCAAACCTTAAGTGCATCTTAACATGGAAGTTTGATACAAACATACAGGTACATATAAATTACATAGTCTAATACTAGACCAAAGCCTGTGGTTTTGGCTTTCACTCATTTCTCATCATGTATTTCTTACAGAATTCATATTTCATTTATCAGGCGAGTAACCATTTCCTTGATACTTAAGTCTTTGAAATTATCATGGATGGTTGCAATCTAACAGGTAATCAAAACTGCAATACCATCTGTTAATCTGTATGGCATTACTTTGTATTATGTTTGAAATATGTCATTGTTTTCTTTGTGTGGTCTCCATCAGCGGTGTCTACTAATGTTTTCTTGTCTTGTCCTGCTGAACCATTATTAACATTTTTAGGATTTCAGGATGATATATTTGAGGACCCTTTGCTTAAGGCATACCAGTGTAATATAATATCTAACAGCCACTTTTCTCTGTGACTTTATGCAAACAATATTAGCAAATCGGCTTCATGGTCACTAACCCATCAACCCATCTTTAGTTCTGTCTTCCCTGACTTGAGGTTCTATATTATGAACTTCTGTATTAAACATGTTTGTTATCTAATTGATATTTTTATATCCATCCATCCATTTTACATTCATCACTTACAACCCTTTCTATCAAATTTGACAATTCAGGAGGTCCATGGTAGATTGAAATTTCTAATGGATCGTTTTCATCATAATGATGATCACAGGCGGCAGAACTGACAGGGATTCGGTCTTTTCCTAAGGACACTTAATCAAAACAGATCAAGGCCAAAGCACGAGCTTGAACGAGGATCTTCTTGTTCAAGCTCCCTTGGGACTTTTCCACCACGAATCCCAGTTAAACATACATAGTACTTGATGTATGCCTTAAGTAAAGTGGTGCCATTTGTGTTGTTATGGCCAGTCATGTAGCAGCTCTCATAAAGGTCTCGCTTGTGAAACTAAAGGTAAATGTGGTGGAAAGTATATTTGTAGCTCTCTATTGTAGCAGTGATGAGAAAGCTGTATTTAAATGCTGAACTATGTATTATTATTATTGTTTATTTTTAATGAGAGCCTGATGTGAAGATATATGGATGAGATGCTAAACAGTTACATTACTAACTGATATGTGTTGTCAGATTGTACTTCAGGGAAAGGGATGTTAAAGATTTGATATTTGAAGATAATACCAAACAATGCTACTGAAAATCTCTTCCGCTGTATATCAGTCATTTCTCATATTGGAGATTAAATGCATGTTGTCCCAGAATGAAATGCTAGTGAAGGTTTAGGAGCTGGAGCTGAATCTTTAGTTCCTAAAAAGTATTCCAACTTGCCTTAGACCCTGTCCCTATCATACTGTCACCCTCTACCTCACCACAACCTCTGGGGGCTGGGTATTAAAACATGTCGGCACTGTAGCTTTTCTGTATCAACATACATTTTAAGGCATCAAACTGTACTTCAACATTTAATAATCTTATCACTACACTAAAAGCATGCAATTTAAGTGTTATTTGTTTTTCCCTCCATGACACTGAGCTTAAATGCCTCACTTCTGTTACTGTGTTATCGGCACTGCTGATGAAAGTACAGCCAAATGTACTGAAATTGCTTTCTGAAGGTACATTTTATTCAGTTGAAGACGAGTACTTATACTACTATTATGCATGCATTGATATCTGACACAATTTAACTGTAATCTTGCAAGTGCATATGTTTTCAGTCAGGATGCTGTACGCTACTTTACTGTGTGATTACCAAAGTAGGAAGAGATCATCTGTTGGTTAGTAGAAATGGAAAGTGTTATTTGTTCTTCTTTAGTGGAATGTTTTAAGTGTACTGATACTCTGAAGTGGCGCTATATATGGATATAGATGCATTTATACAATATATATATTTGATACAGTAGCACTGTTTACTTCACAAGTCACTATTAACAACTCTACTAACTCATAACTAACAGCAACCCCAGTATTTCATTATAAATGTATTTAGACTAAAGTCAGTTTAGTAGAGTTTTCTGTGTTATTTCAACTCATGCTGTAGTTTGCTGGTGAAGTTCTACCAAAATTGAAGGTACCAGTTTGTTGCTTTTTAATTACTGTGTGAGCACTTCAGGAAATTTGTGTTTTTATGAAAATGTTATTATACAATCATATACACAATAAAATTGTGCTAAATTGCAAAAGGGAAACCACTTATGTCTTTTGCTGTTTCTGAAAAAAGAGTAGTCATATCTTATATTCTGCTGCTGTATCTCTTAAGTATTACTTCGCCCCAGTATTATATCTGTTTAAATCTTAAGTATGCATGTTTTGGCTTTGTATGTTTGTTCCAGTTTTTATTTTTAATTTTCATCAATGGGCAAGTTGTGTTGCTTTTGAATTGTAACTGCGTAAGGTCTTTGGGCACTACATGAAGGTAGCCTACTAATAAACTTTTTTTCTAAACATATATAAGATTTTCCTTTCATTGATCTCTCAAAAATGTTGATTATATGTGTCTGGTTCACAATTTCACATCTCTGGGAGCTGCAGTTTTCTACTGTTTGCACTGAGCAGCTCCATTGGAGCTACAATGCGTTGCCCAAGGGTAACTTGCTGCTGAAGTTGTTATTGCATCTCAGTTTTTTTCTGTTTGTCCAGGGATTCAAACTAGCTAAATATATATATATAAAATAACTGGGTCTATTTCTGACAGATAGGCCTGCTCTATTTCAGCTGACAGTGACACAAGCAAGTGCAGCTGCAAGTAATAATAGTGAGTAGTACATACAAGAAATGTTCTGTGCTGATGTATTCTGCCACAGCATCTAATTTAAGACCAAAATGTACATATGACTTGATAATCGGAATGATGTACTCAACCCCTCACACTGTCACGATAATTATTATACCGGAAGACACTGTATGGACGCTGGCAGCTGTGTGAAGTTAGCGAGAGTTAGCCAAACGAGTACAGGAAGTAAGAGGACTGTGTCTCTGAAAATTAAGACATAAACCGCCTGAGAAAAACGGGCATTAGTATGTGTGCAGGACAAAAACTCAGTGGGACCAACATATTGTATAGAGGGCAGCATCTACTGATAAATAGACAGTCAATTTATTGTTTTAATAAATGTTCACTAAAGCTAAAGATGACTGATAATTGTTATGTTGTTTTTTTAATTTTAATTTCCACTTGTGTGGTGAAGACATTCTTAAATTGGCAGTAGTGGAATGAAACAAAGTAAATTTACTCAAGTAGGCCTACTGTAGGTAAATACCAGTTTGAGGTACCTGTACTTAAGCTGAGTATTATCATTTTATGCAGCTTTATACTTCTGCTCAGCTTAATCTCAGAGGCAGAGCTTTACTATTTCATACCCTCCCTGTCCAGTGAAAAACATGTATCTCCAAATTAGTAGACTTTATTTTCTGAAAATAGCAGTAATAATAATCCAAAAACATGATATATAATAGTAAAACACTGACTTTCCTGCAGAATGATGATTACTTTTGATGCTAAAACTTTTGTTGATAATACTTGTACACTTAGGTTTAAATGCCAGACTTTTACTCGTTGAGTATTGTGACATTGATACTTTAAAAAAAAATGCAATGGATGTTACAGTTTTTGTCACTTGCAAACATATAACCAGGCTTTTGAAGTAAAATTTCAAAACCTCCATTTTTCAAAAAGCACACCCATTTCCCTAAACTCTACACAAAAAATCCCTTCCTGAGAGAGGAAGAAGATGAGGAGGTGGAGGAGGAGGAAGAGGAGGAGGCGGAGCAGGAGGAGGGAAGAGGAGAAGGGGCGGAGGAAGAGGAGGTGGAGAAAGGGGACGAGAATCTCTGGCCTGTCCCGGACCAATGACAGCATGCTGGGGCAGAATAATTAGTTGTTTGGTGTGTTGTACTGTACAGTATGCTAAGGAATAAAAAATGTGCAAATTTATACATTTGTTATTTCCTTTGTTGTGTTCATCATCATGTGAAAAGGTTTTTGAGGGGGAGAATCACAAGCAACATCACTTATAACCAGTTTTTGTAGTATTGTTTTGAATTTTTCTCACCAGTGTGAACTGGCTGTGTTGTAGTGTGTGTGTGTTTCTTGTGTTTTATGTCTGACGGCAAAGTTTGGTTTTGCAGCAAATCTGAACGGTTTTGAGTGGAGAGCTTCATTTTGACCTGATAATAGGATGTTTGGAGATCTGGGCGAGAAGTTGTGGATTTGTGTTTAGAATTTCGAGAAAAGTGTCTTCAGCAATCGAGAAAAACTGTAATCCGTACGGGTTTTATTTTGAAAGCGTTGAGCGGAAGCGCAGCTGTTTAACCGCGGCTGACTTGACTCCTCTGAGGAGAGCTGGAGGGGAAAAAAAGGAAAAAAAAACGGAGAAAAAAAGCCATATCTGAGGGGTTTGAGGGGCGGATTTGGACAAAGTTTCCCAACTGTCCCGACCCGAGGAAGCTCCGGGGGGGTTGACGGGGAGTCGATCTGACCGGTAATTAACACAGGAGTAATTAGTCGGTTGTTAACGATCTGTTATTTTCAGTGTGTCTGAGAGCGCTGTCGTCCCAACCGCCGGAAGTCTGCATGAAGCTGCGTCTCCTACAGAGGCTACGGCGTCGACGTTTTTTTTTTCTGTCTTGGGGTTTTTTTTTTTTATTCGAGACTTTTTTTTTCTCTTTTTTTATTTTCTCTCAGCGAGATGAGCAGGGAGCGAGGAATGGAGGCGTAGGGAGCCAGGATGTTTGTGTGTTTACTCAGCGACAAGCTAGTTAAGCTGTATGAATGTTCACACGGGCCTCCTTGTAGCTAATGCAAGCCAGCGAACAAAAGGGAGAAAATTAATGGAGGCAAGTTAGCTAGCTCCCTCTTGTCTTCTTGCGTTAACCTGCTAACGCTAGCCATGTTTGTTTACAACCCAGATATCTCATTAAGCTCCTGGCAGCTGGTTAGGTGCAGTGGAAAACATGCAGGCTGAGTGCTTTGCAAGGGGGCTCCCTTATTTAAACAACTGCTGACAAAAGTCGTATTTACAAGATTTCATCAATCACTGCTAACCACAGCCTTTAGCTTAGTAGCAGTGCCACAGTTTTGGAGCCAGCTTGTGTCCCTCGTCAAAAATGGCTCTCTAGAGCACTGAAGCATTGACTTTTTATTACACTAATAACGGCCGTTAAGTTGCCAGACAGCAACAGTCTGTGGGAAATTAATGCATTTGCATCAAAAGCTTGCTTTCTCATTTATTTATAGGTTGTGCAACTGCAGAGGGATTGGAGGCTCATGAAAAACAACGTTAATCATGCTTTGAGTTATGCATTGCTAATGTTTTGCATGAGATAAATTGTGTATAAGTGTATTACTTTGTTATGTTGAAGTTTATTTTTCATGGGCCTATACTCCTAAAATGTTATCAGTTATGTTAAATGTTAAGCTTTACTAAGGTGTGATAACATGCATGCTTTTCTTGGTATGTAAGCGATATGGCTATACATGGCATTGGTGATCTGCACATGCATATGGAAAAACCAAACCTCAGAACCTTTTTTACTATTGGTCTATAGCAATAGCGAAGTATGTTGCAAATAAAGTGCAAGTGCATGTGAAAATAGAACAATGAAACTATGAAACTTCCTTCTTTGTGCTACAGAAAACATGTTGCCTATGTGTCAGTGGGAGGTGATGAGGAAGCAGAAGATCAGAGGTTTGATAATGAAAAGATAGACAGTAGTCTTGTAAACAGTGAGTGTTGTCTTCAGCAAACCATATGTACTCCTAGAAAGGATGTTATTTTCAACACATAGTGTATACATAGCATCTAGTTTGGGTGAACACGCCTGTGTGTTACTTTTGAGGGCAATAAATAGTTTGACACAGCATTGTTTTTGTTTTCCAAAACTAGACTCATTAACAAGTTGCTGATAAAGCAACCGCTCTAAGATAGTGTAATTTGTTAATAGCAACACATACTGTGTAAGGGACTTGTGAGGAAATGCATGGGCTGTGTTACAAAAAATTATCAAAATCCTCAGAGACTGATTATGATTAGTGTTTTCTCAATTCTTGCCTCTTCTGTCCTCCTGTAGATTTTTTGAACATCTTTGCCTGATTCCTTTCACATCCTCTTCTCTGTAAATCTGATCAAATATTATTAAAAACGACACAAACAGCATAAAGCTAAAAGCATTTTCCTTCAAATAGTCATTTTTGTTGCAGCCAGTTTACACTTTTGGATGGGATCCCTCAAAAGAACAGTTTGTTAATTGACAATAGGCTGCCGGCTTGTGTGTGTGTGAACTCCACGCTGACGTTCAGTGTGTCAGCTGGTGGTGAGGAGAGGATACATCGAAAGGAAACATACAAAGATGATTGAAACGCAGCCATGTATGGTCTCGTTTCACATGAAAGTTAAAAAAAAAACAGCATAGTACGGAGGAAGAGGAGGAGGAGGGCAGGTGTTTTCTAAGTGTGTTGCTTTTTAATTACAGAAATAATGGACGATTCCCATTTCAACTCGTCATACTTTTGGTCTCCCGTCCCCACTGTACAAGGACAGGTAGAGACAACCTTATTGTATTGAAATACACATGGTTTAGTGGTATGTGCTATGTTGAAAGATACCGGGAAGCGATGATCACTTTGACTGTTTATGGAAATACTTAAAACATTGCACAACACCAGAGAATGATTTGACCCTGAACATGTTGTTAATAACACCACAGGATAATGCTCTCTTATTCAGTGACTTCACATTGAAGTTATTTAAGTATGAGCTCTTGACATTGGGGAGGGGTCACTCCTGTCCCTCTCCTCTGTCATCTCTTCAAGCCGCTCTTTGTTCCTTTTTTTGTTTACGTCCTGCATCTCACCATGCCTTCGTTCTCTCTTCTCTCCCATTGCCTCCTTCTCCTCCTCTGCCTTCTCCCTACATGGATCTCACCCATTATCGACTCCCACTCTTCGCTCTCCCATCTGCTAACTTAAACCACTCTTCACCACTCTTTTGCTTCCCTCCTTGCCATCCTTCTCTGTCTTCTTCCCCTTTCTCTGTCCCTTCCATTCTTTTTGTGTTACCTTACCACTTATATCACCTCTGTTTTCCATGTGAACTGAACCCATCCTTGACTCCTCTTCTCCTCCTCCACCCTTGTGTCCTGTTTTCCATCCTCTCTTTTAATGTCTTCTGTCCTTTTCAACTCCTTCCAATCTGCCTCGCCTTCCTTCCTCACACACCTGTCTCACCACCTCACTTGTTTATCGTCACACCACTCCTTTACCTCACCTCCGCCCACCTGCTTTCCTCATCTCTTGGCCTCCTTCGCCGTGCGTTTCACCCTTCCTCTGATCCCACATCGCTTCTTCACCCCATCCTTATCCTGTGGTCTCCGTGGAATCTCCCAATGTTTTACCCTCGCCCACCCTGCACTCCTTTCCTCTTTATTATTTCATCCTTCCTGCTTTCTTTCCTCTTACCACCAACCGCCCTTCTCCTCATCCTTTGTCAGATCGAGAACGCCATGTTCCTGAACAAGGCAAAGGAGCAGCTGGGTCCAGAGAAGGCCAATGCGCCCTCCTTCCCTCACTCCTCTGCGTCTTCCACCTCCTCCCCCCACTACCCCACGGCTGTGCTCGCCATCCCCGGGTCAATGGACGCAGGGGCCGGCTTGCGGGTTGTGCCCAAACAGGAAGGAGGTGGTGGGAGTGCAGGAGGAGGTGGTGGTGGCAGCGCACCTTTAAGTGTGGTCGGGGGACACCTGCACCAGTCGCACACCTCCCAGAACATCACCGTTGTGCCTGTTCCCTCTACGGGTATCATGACTGCAGGTGAGTGCGCTGCAGTGTCCTCCTTCACGCCTGAGTCATGACATCCTCAACTCCATTTTCCATTTCTGTCTTGTTATTGTCTTATTATATTTGTTTGTTGGTATCACTTTAAGATGCATGAGAGTCAGGAACACTGCACATATTCAACTGCAGCTGCTACAAATCTTGATCTGAACAATTGTCTTTGTCTCCATAAAACTTTATTTCTATTTAATATCAGCAGGTTGCAGGCAGCAGTTTTAAAGGACAGGTTGTTAAAATATTGGGACAACTCATTTGTTTAAAAAAGCATTCTGAGTCTGCTGTTTAGTGATGGCTTTGACCCGTACGCCAAGTATTTTTATGGCTTTAAATATTGGTGTCTGTAATGAAGGTTATCCAGACAGTGCACAAGAGAATTCATATAAAATGTCTGTTTTGAGCCAATGGACAGCCAGATCACAGTTTCTCTTTTCCTCTTAGCGGGTTTAGTGATCACCACCCCTCAAGGCACACTGGTCCCCACTGCCTCCACGCAGTCATTTGTAGCTGGACCCCACACTGCCACCACCATGATAGTGTCTGCATTGCACCCCTCAAATACAGGTAAAACGCAGGCGCAGTCCTCCGTCATTTCAACATGTGAATACAAACTGCAGTTTGTTGGATAATTGTATTGTCAAAGCTTATGCGAATCAATTTAATGCATGTACTTGTCAGGGGAATATATGAGATTTTCCACAGTAAGACACACAGATAAAAAAACTTCCCACTGTAATCGCTGTTGGCCAGCAAGCAGGTCTATTGGAGCAGGTGGGAAGGGCATCATGACTAATGTAATAAGAAAGATTTTTCTCAGTATTTAAACATTTAATCTCCTGAAGAGAGATAAAATTAAATTAAGGCACACATATCATTTCATTTGAATAAGAGATGTTTTTATACCCACCGTTTATTTATTCCTTTTGTGTTGTTACATCCATACACATACAAGCATACAGAGGCTCGTGTATGTCCATCCCCTTTTGTAATATTTGGTATTCCTCCTCATCAAGGCAGCACAGCTCTGCATAACAACTCATGTAGGTGATGTGTGGGCCTGATTACATCACATTTTTCCATCTCTAATAGATGCTGTCTTCACACAACATTCCTCAACTCTCCCTTTCCTCATCCCTCTTTTCTCTTTCCTTTCTTTATACTTTTCTCTTGTTTTCAGACAAGAAGGAGGACATTGCTGTCCCCCCTGCAGTTGTCATGCCGACGCCGTCAAAGCGAGGCAGGAAGAGCAAACAGATGATGGGAAGAGTGGCCGCTGGAGTGGGTGGGGTCCTCCCTCCAGGAAGCGATGCATTAATATTGGCGCACCTCGCTGCTAGTGGACAGGTGAGAGTGTCTTATATTCTTTTTTTTATTTCTTTTTTATTTTGCTTAAGGCCTTTTAATATATTTCTGATTTAGTTCTTACTGATTTTCTACACAGCATGAATTGTCAGTGCTTGTGCTTTTCTTCATAACTAATATATTGTTATTGTGATACAGCACCACACTGCTGACCCATATGACCTGTCAAATGATGAGGATGATCATACCAACAAAGACGGCCCCAAGTCCTACAGGTAGTGGAAAGATATTCAGATTCAAGAAAAGCATTATTGTTTGTGGCATCACAGATCACAGATTGTCTGCCAGTACCGACACTACAGAGAGAAGAACCTACTTGTAAGGTTAAATCACTTTGACTGCTTTGTGTGGCATGAAGGTTTTCTTCTCTCTCTCTCGCTCCTTCAAGGTGTCGGATGTGTGCAGTGACTTTCTTCAGCAAGTCAGACATGCAGATCCACGCCAAATCCCACACCGAGGCCAAGCCCCACAAGTGCCCCCACTGCTCCAAGTCGTTTGCCAACTCCAGCTACCTGTCCCAGCACATCCGCATTCACAGCGGGGCCAAGCCCTACACCTGCACCTACTGCCAGAAAACATTCAGGCAGCTCAGTCACCTACAGCAGCACACACGGTACTGGTCTGAGTGGTTTCCTGTGTTTGTTGTGTGCCTGTTTGTTCATGTGGTTTCTGTTGGTAAAGCTTGTGTGTGGTGATGATGAAGGGAGGAAGAGGTGGGGAGTTGGGGATGTGTCAGCGTCTTTTGGGAGAGTGTTGACAGTGTAGAGCTCTTTTTGCACAGTGTAAGCGTCCACTTTGAAGGTGCAACACTTGTACCAAACTTAAATTAAATCATGGTTCTAAACATGTTATTTTTATGTATTTACCAATCAAGATTGGTTTCTTCCTGGTTACTAATTGATTATCAAGTCAGGAACAGTTGTTTGGATCTTTTTCGAGCTCTCAGAATACACGAGAGCCTGGGTGGATGCATGCTACAGCGTTTGGTAGAAGAAGTCAACTTACAGTACGAGTTACCACCAAAACATACCTTAATTTAGCATGTGTTTACTTTCTCATCCTGCTGGTGATACAATCACAAGCTTGGCTTGGAACTGCATGTATGTTGCCATCTAATTCTATTTTCTTTGACTCCACATCTGCTTTCATATAACTGTCATGTCTTAATTTCATGTCTAGCGGAAAAAGGAGTGTAAATAGAAGTTTGGATAAGATGACTTTGCGGAGATAACGGCCCTGAATTTGTTTACAAATCACAAAGTTGATTATTAGATAGTGAAATTGTTGACGGCTGGAAATTCAGTCTGTAATTTTAATCACACAAGTGTGAGTACACTTTGTATAGAAACTGTGGATGATAATTTACCCTCTTAAAACAAAACACACTCCTCATTGCTTTTGCCATTCTTTCACTGCACTGAGTCACCCTGCATGTTTTACACACCCTCATAATCACATTTCATATCACATGTAAAGCTGCTAATCTGACACTGAGAATAGTTTCTTGTATTTCATGTAACCATGTGTGACCTGTAAGTGATGAACGCGCCCGTCTCCCATTCATGCCGTCATGAATTTTATGTTTGACCTTGTCATTCACCTTCTTCATGCTTTCATTTCCCTTTTTGCCATGAACTTAGTTTTCTTTGTGGGTTTCAGGCCATTGATTTTAAACATGAAGATGCGCTCCGGTGGCCTGCCGCTCGTCTTGAATTTACTTTTCAGTTTGACTGCTGCAGACATTCATAGACACATTCACACTCCACTCAAAGCAGGCACACCAAAGGGAGAGACTGCGAGAGAGAGAGAGAGAAAGAGAAAAGCGTGACTGTGCTTGCTGTATGTTTTTGTTCTGTGTTTTCACAACTCAGACACAGCACTAAGAGCACACTGTCAAACATAGTGATCTGTGATCAACGCAATTGACCACAGATCCTGTTAACTTTAACGCATGATTTGGTCTTCGGTTCATCGTGAAGTTTGGTCATGCTGTAGCTTAAAAATCTCTCGCTGTTTCTCTCTCTGTTTCTCTCTCTTCACCTCCTTACCCCTCCAATCCCGGGCTCCCGTGTTAGAAACCACACTGAGGCCAAGCCCCACAAGTGCCCCCACTGCTCCAAGTCGTTTGCCAACTCCAGCTACCTGTCCCAGCACATCCGCATCCACACCGGGGCCAAGCCCTACTCCTGCTCCTACTGCCAGAAAACATTCAGGCAGCTCAGTCACCTACAGCAGCACACACGGTACTGGTCTGGGCTGTGTTGGTTTGAATGGCCGGATGTGTTTTTATGTGTGCATGTATGGGAGCAGGTGTGTGGAGAGTTATGGCATTGTGATAGTTTGCATCCTTAGGTTTTTGAGTGTCTTTCAAATTTGGGAGGCAGGCTGTTGTAGGTAAAGGTTTGCCGCAATATATTTTTTTAATTATTCAAATGCTTCCTGCCAAACAAACATTTTCGGCTCTTGTATGGGACTTTACATTTAGAGGTCAACAGGTCAACAGGCCTGTCAGCCACAGCCAAGACCTTGGAAGGCTTAATACTGTTAATTGTTACACAGCTTCCTGCCTCATCATACAATTAGGTTTCCTCAATAACAGTATAACAAATATATCGACACTAAAAAGTTAGATTTAATTCATTTAAATCATGAACAAATTAGCACTTTTTTCTTATTAAGATATTTATTTTGTTAAGGAAAAGGGATTGAAAAAAGATTTTACTTATTTTTACTCAAGCATATAAAGAAAAGATTTTATCTTAATTGTTTTGAATGTCCTTCCTCAGATTTGTTAAGTGATCCACTGTTTGGCTTTTTTCATGTTCTGATCATTAAAACCACAATTAACCATCTGGTTTCTACAAAAAGCAAAAATCACCCTTTTAACTTGAAAGAAATAATGATTTGACATTTATTGTGATAATTATTGATATCGAATGCTATGAAATTTTTTATCATGATAAAATATTTCGCCCAGCCTTGCATACAATGATATAAAGCAGGATAAAGTATATCTAAAACAAACATCAAAAGGCAAATCATTACACATAATAGTTAATAATTTTTTTTACATTTTGCGGAAGAAAAAGTAGTAGGAAGATAAAATATGAGGAAGCTACTAAGCTATAATCTTAATGCCATTAAAGTACCCTTAGTTTGTTTACTTTTATTTGTTAATGATGGTAAATTATAGAGGTGTAAGGAATGAGCACTGAGCCTTTGAACTGGCATAACTGCTGTATTATATGTACAAAATGTTGCTTTGGATAAGAGAAAGCATACTGAATATCCTCAATAATGCACATCACTCTCACGTTCATTTCCTTCATGCAAGTGCAGCAAGAAAATGTAATTTATTAAGTGTAGTTAACTTATGGGATGCCTTACTGTGATTTTCAGGATTCACACCGGTGACCGACCGTACAAATGTAACCACCCAGGCTGTGAAAAGTCTTTCACTCAGTTGTCCAACCTACAGGTAAATTAATTCACTGGTTTGATCCTTGCTCCTGAACTGATTACATTGTTCTATAGTGAAATTATTTTGCCTTTTCCACTGTAGTCAAGATCAAGTTAAATGTTCTTTTTAAAAATGGCTCTTTTTAAAAATGGCTCTTTGAGACTTTTTTTTGTGGTGCTGTCAACATCAGATTTTGAGACACTATGTATTTGGAAAACATCGCTTATTGATTGTGCTAATGGCTGTTTGTCCCCACCCTCCTCTGTGTGTCTCTTCCTCTCCCCACAGTCTCACCGTCGGCAGCACAACAAAGACAAGCCGTACAAGTGCCACAACTGTAACCGAGGTTACACAGATGCTGCGAGCCTGGAGGTGCACCTTTCCACACACACCGTCAAACATGCCAAGCTGTTCTCCTGTGGCCTCTGTAACCGATCCTATACCTCGGTAGGCTCTCAGTCATGTCAAACATCCGACACGGTATTCACACAATGCACTGACTCTGGCCTTAGACACATAAGGGGGGAGATTTCAGAAATTACAGGCTTGGAGAATGTATGTTGTTCTGTTTGTAGTTTGTAAATGATTTACTGAGGGTATTACTGTCCATGATAGGATATCAATAAATATAATTTCCTCAATCTGATATACAGTTAATGATTAGCATGTTTTATTTAATGAATAATTTCAAGAATGATAGTACTTTGTTAGACAGAGATTCTTTATTGAATGTATCATCCCCACCTAATGACCTCAAGTTGGACTTCTTACTATTTCTCATGGTTGACTTTGGTCATTTGTAAACAAACTTCATGGACCAACACAAATGTTTTAATGTATCAGGCCATTTTATCATGAAAAATGAAGTTCCTATGTTTTATATTTGCTGCTGTGAATATTATATACAGTACAGTATATATTTTACAATCACATATGGAGAGCATGTTTTTTTGGGATATCCAGAACCAATGTTTACAGTAGAAAAGTAATTGGATAAAATTTACTAAACTTTTCTTACTGGCCTCATTTATGGCAAACACATTTATCAAATATACGTTTTTTGTACGTATAGATATGGAATAGAGACAAACAGTAACTTTTATTCCATGAACCTTAAATTAAAGGTCCAGTGTGTAAAAGTTTGGAGAATCTATTGACAGAAATGCAATATAATAGCCATACCTATGTTTTCAGTTGTGTATAAAGACCACACATAATGAATTGTTATGTTTTTATTACCTTAGAATGAGCCATTTCTATGGATTACATGAATGCCATGATGTTGCAGCGCCATGTTTCTACAGTAGCCCAAACGGACAAACTGCAGAGCGTGTTTTTTCACTACGTTAAATTTTATATTGAAAGAAGTGTGAGGAATAGGAGAAGAAAAAGTAGTAGTAATAGTAGGCATCTGGTTTATTAGCAATAAGAAGAGACATGAAATTTGGACAGTTGGGGCCCACATGTATTATTTAGCAAAAGAACCGACAGATTTTGTCGGCCATCGTAACTTCTCCTCCATGCTCGGAAAGGGAGGGATGGGCGGTGACTGATGGTGCATTCATGTGATGTTGGAATAATCTGAATCCCCCCCCCCTCGCGTTAAACCTTTATTGCCAAAAGAGAAATAAAGTGCACATGGTACATATACAAGTATACAGAACAGTATACAAATCTATAAGAAGACACAAAGAATAAAAACTTTGTCAGGGGTAATCAATATTATATAAAGATATTAAAAGACTATTTGTTAACAGTTTTCACAGCATTTTTTTTTTTGTTGGATTTAAAAATAAAATTGATATAATGCACAACCTCATGGAGAAAAACTACAGTTTTTTACTATATTTAAAAATGTGGAATTTTGCCATTAGAATTAATACATTTATTATAAACTACTTATTTTCTTTTTTTGACTTTTATAAAAGCAAAATATCACATTCTGCCACATCAATGCAGCCCATGTGAATGCACAGTGAGCTGTTGGTTGCAGTTCTCAACTCTCACCACTAGATGCCACTAAACTTACACACTGAACCTTTGAGCAGATCCCATCCTCCTGTATTTTTCTTTCCAGCCATCATATCTTCTACTTCTCTCTCCCTGATTCTAGGAGACTTATTTAATGAAACACATGAGGAAGCACAACCCCGACCCGCTAACAGTGGCAGCAACAGTAGCTGCTCAGCAGGCCCAGGGCCTAACGCCAGGCGGAGGAGGTGGCAGGGGCCGAGGGCGTGGCCGAGGGAGAGGAGGAGGGAGCAGAGCGGGCCAGCTCCAAAGCCAGACCAATCCTAACAACGCCAACCAGAACCCTAACAACCCTGGACCTCCAGGCAGCTACCAGTCGCACCAGCAGCCCACAGAAGCTGTGGTTCAATGTCCATTTGACATGCATCAGTACAAGACAGTGTCAGCCAGTGAGATCCAGTACAAACCAGTCACTGTGGCGGACCTGCCAGTGGCCCACAAAGACCTCTGCCTCACCGTATCTACATCAGCCATACAGGTGGAGCACATGAACTCATAGGCTGCGTCTTCCCACCCTGTTCAAGGAATTACTAATTGTGTCTGCAGTGTAAAAAGGTCCACATGAACGAGTATTTTTTTTAATTCAGTATTATATTCTTCTTAAGCAAGAAAAAAATGGCTAGTAGGTGGGAAAAGGTATCATTTGGTTTGCTGATGTAACAAGACACTCTGAGTGACATTATTTTGAAAGGGGATGATTGGGTAATGTTTAAAGGTACATCTAAAATGTTATTCACCCAATGCCAGTTTTTTCCTTCATTTTAAGAAGATTTAATTCTGAGTACAGCATTAAATTACTTGGTAGAACACAGATATTTTACAATGAGCAAGTATCTCTCAGTAGAAATGCTGGTCTAGGACACGAATATAAGCGGTTCATTCTTTCATACAGTTTACCAAAATCTAATCTGAGATCAAGTTTTGGCTTTTATATCATAAATGATATGGGGATTAAATCCAGTCCAGTCTTTTTCATTCTAATTTCAAACTTTGAGTCATTGGACCAGTCATCAACTTACTTGCTCTGTAAAACTCACTGATCCTAAACCAGCAGTCCTCTGAGAAACTTGACAAAAGAGGCCCTATTCTTTTTTTATTGCATTGTTCGCAATCGGCATCATCGGAGGATGAAGGTGTAAATTATCTGTAAAATAATAAATTACACTCTTCTCTGCACGTTTATGGTCCAGAGAATGATGTAATTTTATGAGCACATTCAGATCACATTAATCTGAACATTCTCCATTATTTAGTTCAAGCCAAATCAAGAGGGAGAAACAAGACAAGGAATCAGTGATGAAAGACTGCAGGGCTTCATAACAGCAGCTGATACTGCTCTGAAAAATGAGGAAGGACTAAGTAAATAAGTTTTAATGGCATGTCAGGGTGCCGCGGACAAGAGAGGCTGGATCAAAAAGGCTGCAATGGAGCCTGAGAAAAAGACCACAAAAGAAGAGGGGCAGCAGAAAGAAAAGGATGAGATGAGGCTAGAACCTGGGAATCTCACATTGCTCATTTGAAACACAAACATGATGTCCGTATTTACATCCACCTTCCCTCAGACAGCAAGGAGTCAAGGAACTATTTCCTTGTCGAAGCCCAAAGTATTGAACAAAAGAGACGGGCCGGTTCAAGAATGCACTAAATATGAGGAATCTGCAGCAGAGCGAGACGGAAACACGAAAGAGAAAAGATGTCGGAAGGGGTGGGAGGAGTCATAGAGAAAGCACTTGATGAAGCTTGTACTTCATGTCTATGTTTGTCATCATTGTACTTTTTTTTTTTAATATATATCGTGTATGTATTTTTCTACCAACAGAGGAACGTGTGAACAAACTGAGAGAGAAAGCAAAGTGAGTGCATGAATGTGAAAGGAACAGAGAGAAAAGTCCTTACAAAATGTTTTTCCCCCCATTTTTTTTGTTACTATTCAAAGAAAGACAGTTTATTATCCCCCAAGGAGTAAAGACAGCCCATCTCGTCATTGTCAGGGCAGTTGTTAGGGAAATAATGATTGTGTGACAAATGGCTGACAGGTACTGTTATCAATCTTTTTTTTAAAGAACTTTTCATACATATTATTACTACTTTCATTATAACTGTATTGCAAATGTTATCCACATTATCAATCTGAGGCATTATTTTATTGCAGTATGCTGTACATAAAATAGATAGAAAATACTTTTTCATCTGTAAAAGGGAAGTATGTCCTGTGTAAAGCATATATGGAAACTAAAGGAACTCAAATTAACAAGTACCAAATCACTGGCCGTGCCCCAGGTCACCTCTAATGCTGATGGATCATAACCTTAATGCTCAGCAGAGTTGGTAAAGGAATGATAAAATCCACACCTAAGACGTTTGGGAATTGCCCAAAAAGTTGGTTAAACTATGGGAAATATTTTTTTCTCTCTTTATGTAATGAAGTAGGATGCAGTATTTCTTGCAGTTTGAGCCACACTTGCCGATTACACTCAATGATATTCATTGTAATTATGATCAAACCTGAAACAGTTTGATCAAGTAAACTGTGTTTTATTTGTTGGATTAATTAACAGAGGTTGTTATTAGGCTTATTAGACAAGATTGTTGTGGCTGCAACCTAAAAAACATTTTTTTTAACATTGGTCCCATATGAATTCCTTCATGAACATTTTTAAAAGTGATCTGAGAGTATATCTAAAAGATTAAACATTAAACATGGCTGTGATGTAGGTGACCTGGGACACAGGTGCTATGTTTTTTTGTGCACAAGCTATCTCTACCCAATCAAAATGTTCAAGCAGCCTGTAAAAATGGCTGATTGTCTTCATGTATACTCCTCCTCGTATTTCATTGTGTCTTTTTATGAAAAATAACACATTCTCAATAATCTTGTTAATATTATTACTGATGCTCCTGATAATAATACAGTTATTAACTGCCCTCTTATGCTACACTATTGCATACTGTATGCACAGTTACACCTCTTGCTCATCTGTTTCTTCCCTTAAGGAGAATAAAGATCAAATGAGTTCATATGAAAAGACTTCGTTTTCTGGTTTATTTTATTAAAATCCTGATTGTGCGACACTAAGAAGAACGTATCATTACTTAATATTATATATTCAAGTAATCTGAGACCCAAGTTGTTCAGTTAAATGTCATTTAAAAAAATGTATATCTTTAAAAAATAGATGTGATGGATAGAGATGTATACATAACAGTGTAAAAATATATCACACAAATAATAAAAACTAAAACTTTACCATGGGTAAAGAGGACCAGGTGTTGACAGTTTTCACAGCCTCTTTGTTGTTGGATATAGAAATTAAATTGACATAATGTATAGCCTCATGGAGAAAAAGTACAAAGTTAAGTTTTTACTGCTGAATTTACAATTATGGATGTGGAATTTTGCCATTAGAATAAATACATTTATTTTAAAGTTCCGTTTTTTACGTTTATAAAAATTAAATACTGCATTTTCCCACAGAGTTTACTTTATTCATTCTGGTCGGTGTTTATATTCTGCCGCACGCCAATGTGCACAGCGCATGCTGGCCGAAGAGATACTGTGTGTGGAGCAGACAAACCCGGACTCACTTGTCATTGTTTTTGGTGACTTTAACTAAGGAAACCTCTGCCAAGAACTCCCCAAATACAGACAGTTTATAAAGTGTCCAACCAGAGAGGGGAACACTTTGGATCACTGCTCCACCACAGTTGGCAGTGCCTATCACGCTGTTACACGCGCTCCACTGGGACACTCTGATCACGTCATGGTCCGCCTGATTCCTGCTTACAGACTTAAACCTGTAGTGAGGACATCAAAGAAATTGACCAGTCAAGCTGTAGAGGATCTTCAGACATGCTCGGACTGCACTGACTGGGAGGTTTTCAGGACTGCTACCAACAATCTGGATGAGTTTACAGAAGCTGTGACATCCTACATCAGCCTCTGTGAGGACAGCTGCATTCTAACACGGACCAGAGTGAGTTATAACAATGACAAACCCTGGTTCACAGCTAAGGTCAGACAGCTGAGGTTGGAAAAGGAGGAGGCGGAGAAGGAGTCTAAGTACAGGTTTGCAAAGTACTTAGACTAAGTACAGAGTCTAAGTACAGGTTTAGCAAGGCGGAGCGAGATGCTAAATAGCTGTATGCAGAGATACTAGAACACCAGTTCTCAAGGAATGACTCTGCTTCTGTCTGGAGAGGCTTCAGGCAGATCACCAGCTACAAACCTAAATCTGCCCACTCCATGAACGATTCACGCTTGCCAACGAGCTGAACCAGTTTTACTGTCGCTTTGAAAGACAATGGGACAGACCAGACATCATCCCCCGTCACACCACTGATCTGCCACAGTCCACCATCTCATCCCCACCTCCTCCCCCTCTCTTACCATCCTAGAGAGGGACATCAACAGACTGTTCAGGAGGCAGAAACCTTGCAAAGCAGCTGGGCCAGACTCTGTCTCCCCATCCACCCTGAAGCACTGTGCTGATCAGCTGTCTCAGGTGTTCACAGACATTTTTAACAGCTCACTGGAGTCATGCCATGTTTCAGCCTGCTTCAAAGCCTCCACCATCATCCCTGTCCCCAAAAAAACAAGGACCACGGGACTAAACGACTACAGACCCGTCACCCTGACCTCTGTGGTAATGAAGTCTTTTGAGCGCCTTGTGTTGACCTTAAATCCATCACAGACCCTCTCCTGGACCCCCTGCAATTTGCCTGCAGAGGCAACAAGTCTGTGGATGATGCAGTAAACATGGCTGTTCACTACATCCTCCAGCACCTGGATTTGCCAGGAACCTACGATAGGATCCTGTTTGTGGACTTCAGCTCTGCTTTCAACACCATCATCCCGGCCCTGCTGCAGGACAAGCTCTCCCAGCTCAACGCTCTGAAGACAGTGGAGATGGTCGTGGACTTCAGGAAGAGCCCAGCCCCACCATCGCCACTGTGGACTCCATCCGGGCACCATCATCTCCCAGGACCTCAAGTGGGAGCTGAACATCACCTCCCTCACCAAGAAGGCCCAGCAGAGGATGTACTTCCTGCGGCAGCTGAAGAAGTTCAGCCTGCCAAAGACAATGATGGTGCACTTCTACACCGCCATCATTGAGTCCATCCTCACCTCCTCCATCACATCTGGCATGCGCATCATTCGCTCTGCAGAGAAGGTGATTGGTTGCAATCGTCCATCACTTCAGGACCTGTACACCTCCAGGACTCTGAGGCGAGCAGAAAAGATTGCTGCTGACACCCCCACTGACAGCCCCCCCCACCCCCCCACCCAAATAATACAATTGTCTCTGCACATGTAAATATCACTTCATGTCATATCATGCACGAACCTAGCACATTACACATATTTGTTGTTAATTTGTTTTTAATTGTAAATTGTTGTTGTTCCATTGTTATTTTTATTTTTTTATACTGTCAGTTGTATTATTTTTCTCTATTCGTCTGTTATTCTTATATAACTTGCATTTGTTTATTACACATTTATATATTTCTACATCTATTTATGTCTGTGTTTAGCTGTATGTCTGTCTGCTGTAGCACCTTAACATGTATGTGTAAAACACTACTTGTCAATAAAGCTCCTTTTGATTCTGATCGATTCAAAATCTCTAGATATTGTCAATGATGAATCTACTGACGTTTTGCCAGAATTTAGTTAAATTTAGATTTCATAAATGACGTGGCTACTATCGTAAAATGATCAACAATCAAGTTATCGACTAGATTTTGAGTCAACTGTGCGAACAGCGCACAGACTGATAGAGACTGAATGGAGCAGCGTTTATTCCGCCCAAGCGGGACACTCCGGACGGTGTAACAAGCTTCCATAAAGACGGAGGCGGGGTTTACGCTGGCTCATCCAATCACAGAAGCTTGTCCGAGTCTCCCACCAAAACAGTTCAATTTCAAATTCAAACGGGCGGAGACGGTGGACCGGGTGGATCAGCGGCGGAGTTCAACTTTCCTGAAGGTGAGTGTTTTCATAAATTAAACCTATTTAACACTTTCGTTTATCTCAAAATGTAAAGGTCGATGAAAAACATTGCTCTGAAAGGATACAAAAACTAAAGATCCTTTGATTTTACGTAGATCTTTAACGTTAACCCCTTTATGCTCAAGCTAACGGCTACAAACATCAACATGAACTACTGATAACATGGACGTTGGTTAGTTGTTTTTTTTTACATTTACATTACACTTGTGTTTGAATCGATAGAGATTACGTTTGATTATGTTTCAGCAGTTACGGTGTCGGCTCTGAATGTAATTTAATGTTTAACTTAGCCAACACGCCTTAACGGTAATATCCAAATAGAAATCCAAATAAAAGAAATGCTACTACGATCTTGAAAACACCCAGAAGGCCATTTCAGAAAACGTAACATTGTACTTCTGTTGTTGTGATCCACAATCCTAAAAGACTGTATCCTAATCCTAACAAAGATGTAATGACATAATGTATGTCTTTGCTTCATTTACACAACACGTTTAAAATATCAGTTATATTTGTCTGTTATTACTTTTCATTGAAATTTCATTTATGGCGAGCTGAAGAAGGAAAACCGGTTAAAACTCTTTTACTTTGTCATACAGTGGATTTAATACTTTTCACCCAGATGGTGAAAGTCTTTGGGGATTTTTGGAAATACCAGAGCAGCAGTAAGTTAACTGTTAAGTGTTGTGAAATGGCCTTTTTGAAACCATGGCTGGATTTTTATTTATCAGAGAAATGAATGCCGCTTTAACTCAAATGTAGTGGAGATACAAACTGGGGCTATCCATGGCTCCTGGTTGAGATTAGTTTGACAGAGAAGTTAATGTGCTTGAGATTTATCGTCTGTTTTGACCATCTTTTTACCTTTTTAGCCTCAACAGAACATGTCTCGCTTGCCAGTTATATCAAGCAAGAGGGCCCTGACAAGCAGCAGCAGCAGCTCAGAGAATGGCCAAGACTGTGCTCCTGCTCAGGTTTGTACTAAATATCATATACATCTTTCGTTTCATACGCGTTACTAGTTATTCTCTTTCTGCTGCTGCACCTCAAGTTGTTCTGCATGTAGCACTGTGACATAACCTGTTAACCAGCACCCAGCTGGTGGCCTATTACTATTCCACATAAGATTTAAACAGTAAAATTGAGTTATTCTCTTATCCATGAAGTTTAGAGCTGTGACACGATACATGAACATGTGCCCTGTAATGTAATATCAGATAATATTTTTGTTGTGGCGGTGTCAGCAAGGTGTTGAGTTAAACTCTACGGGTGCTGAATCATTGCTCTTCTTTTACGCTGTGTTGTGCAGAAGAGGACTCGTAAGGACACGGAGCCCATCAAACCACTTGGAGCAGCTACGATCATCGGTGGCAGGCGGCCTCCTCTTGCTGCAACCAAGGCACCTATGTGTAGGTTACTCACACATGAGTTTTAGTATCTTTATGTTGTTCACCAAGGACAGAAACTGCACAGAACTGTTAGGGCAGACATTTGTGTGCAGTAAATTATTCCTCAATATAATCTTGCAAATTGTCACCATTCACAAATACTAAATGAAATAATTTGAAACAAGGCTTTAGGTATTTATTTATTAAATACACATTTTTTTGAAGCTTGTGTATTTATCTTATTTTGAGGCTCCTCTGGTTCCTATAATTTTGCCTTATTTAAACAAACACGTCTTTCTGTCTCACTTTGTCCCTCACACAGCAAGGCCAATCAGAGGTGTGGGAGCTGCCACCGTGGCCGCTGGTCCTTCCAGAGGTAAGATGAGCTTTCAGCTGGGCGATGGTGGAAAGTGCATAAATTGAGATGTCTGGATTGTAGCCCTGTTCACAAACCTTTTACGTGGGGCAGTGATTGAGCATTACAGTTTAACTTTCGCTTTGGTATAATGAATTAATAAAGACAATATTTCACAAGTTGTATAGTTTATCAACTGATGGCAAGAAAATGCGGACGTGCTTGGTTTATTATAAAAGGTAATAGAATCTGGTGTTACATGAATGATTTTTGACATGGTCTTTAATGAATTGTTCTTTCTTATTCCACCAGGTGTCCTGAAACCATCTCTAGCTTCAACTGTAGCAAAGGGAAGCAACATTAAACCAACTGTTGCATCCTCTGATGCAAAAGCAGCAGGTGAGTACTTATTTGGTTCTTGTTCCTTATTCTGTTTAATATTTGGTGCGTAGTTAATGGCAGAGCAGAACTAGAAGCCTTTCTGATTTAATGACAAACTGGGGAGGAAGATTAAGTGTATTGTTAACAGTAAACCTGTGGAACTGTTACTAATAACACAGTAAGTGTGACAGTATGCACAATACCAGGACCCTGAAACTGACTAAACTAAATGGAATTTGACCTTTATTAATTCTATTATTTACACATGTTTTTCCTTCTGTGATGTGTCAAGACGTCTTCTGTGAAAACAGTGTATGTAGAAAATGGTTGTTCTGTACTGACCTGAAAAGAGACCCGGGGAAGAGTCTGAGGTCTTAATGGTACTGTCACACCTGTTGATAGTGACGCTGTTGTGTACAGGTGGGGGTGGGACCACCAAGCGCCAGGCATGGGACATGAAGGGCCGGGTCAGTGACATGGAAGTTAAGATCCGTAACTACCAGACCAAAATGAAAACCGTCAACCAGGAGAACGAGGTTCTACGAAGCTCGGCGGTCCAGAGCGAAACAAAAGTGGCTGAAATGCAGAAGGAGCTTGAGAGGCAGAGGAGCCAGATCAGGTGCAAAGACCATTTCATTAAAACTTTATATATCACTGTCGTCATTGTAGTGTCACTAATTTGTCTGTTTGGGTACCATTAAATGTCCTTTCATTTTAGTATGTATGAGGGGCAGCTGCAGGCGTTGTCAGGAGTCCGTAATGAGCTGGAGAAAGTCTCTAGTGAAAAGAGCACTCTTCAAAAGGAGCTGTCCAACTTAGAGGGAAAGTACAAGGTCATGGAGACTCTCAGAGAGAGCCAAGAGACAGAGCTGCAAACTCTCAAGGTAAAAAGTCTGGTGCTGGATATTTGCTAGTGCTGTTTATTTTGGATTTGTGGTATCATTAAATGAACATACCATTTGCCTAAAGCGCCTAACCCTAATGGAGCTAATACCATACGCTACCTTTGGATTTATACAGATCATTTATTCTACAACTGGTTAGTTAAAAACCAAGAAAGGACCGATAACTTTCCTGAAATTTATCCAGGAAGTTAAGATTTTAAAACAGAGGATATGATGGTCAGATTTTGGAAAAGACAATTTTTATAGTTGTGTGTTTCTGTCTGTCTTTCCACTCCAGATGAAGCTCTCAGTGCAGGAGTCAACTCTGACCCGCTTGCAGGTGACCCTCAAAGACACAGAGGAAACAGTCCGCTCTCTTGAAGAGACGGTGGCCCGGCAGCAGGATGACCTTCATGCCAGGGAAATGGAGCGTAGACGGCTCCACAACACAATCCAGGAGCTCAAGGCAAGTTACAGTGTGGGGTGACTGCAGAAACACTGGTGAAAATTTGATTCCGTTTTTTTTATGTCTTTGGAATTATTTTGGGACTTTTTGTGTTGTTAGCACTTGACATCCTTCTCTGACAAATTTATGATTTGTTTTGTCTAACAACCTTTTCATGCAGGGTAACATCAGGGTCTTCTGCAGGGTGCGCCCACTTGTGGATGGAAGCACCAGTAATCACATCCAGGTCCCGGCCAATGACCTCAAAACAATAACCCTGGCTAAAACAGAAGAGGTGAGAATCCAGTCAGCATACCAGATCTCTGAGAAGCATGTTTACAGTTGAGGATAGTAGCAAGTATGATCCAGAGTTTCTGTTATCTAATTTATTTAGCTGATTAGACTGTAGGAAAATGTCACTATAACAAACATGTCTCTTTGAGCAACATTTTGCTTTGAGTTGTGTAAGCATATTTGACATTATTAAACTCAATTCTGCCCTTTTCTGCTTTTCAGTCTCACACAGGCAAAACTGCAGACACGCAAAAAAATTATAACTTCAATTTTGACCGGGTGTTTGGCCCCCAGGCCACACAACAGGAGGTAAACAATATAGACATGTATATAAAAATATTCAGCTTACTATGAATAAATAAATAAGTACATGTACAAAATTCCCTTAATATTTTGTGGCTATTTGCCACCAAACAGGAAATTCATGGCGACTTTTCACTTTGTTTTCAGATCTTTGAAGAGATCTCACTCCTGATACAGTCAGCATTGGACGGTTACAATGTCTGCTGCTTTGCCTACGGCCAGACAGGAAGTGGAAAGACCTACACCATGGAGGGAGACGAATTTGATGCAACCAGAGGTGTCATCCCCAGAGCTGTACAGCAAGTCTTCAGGGCTGCAGAGAAACTGGAAAAAGAAGGCTGGGAGGTTAGTGTGTAATGTCATGCATATAAACCTGCAATAACTGTATGGGGAGTTTTTTGTGGCCACAGAAACACGTTGTAAACACAATATTGACATCACTTTTTAAAGTTGATAAGACAAAACTGTCAGGGAGCAGTTCACTTGCTGATTTACACATTACACAGGTCTTTAGCTGCTAAATGCTCCCCTGTGTTCACCAGCTGCTGCTGAAAAGGACTGAGTGGTGAGAGTGCACAAACAGTTTAGCATTTTTCAACATTGAGCTGGACTGTTTGTAAAGCTACATGAAGATGATAGGAGCTGCTGATTCAGGTGATAATTTTCCGTAGGGTGATCGCTACAAGTAACCTGCAGGTGTAGATTCATGCCAATTTATACCTCCTATTTGCTCTCAGGGACTGAGGCATACAGGATCTGCAGAGGAGATGCAGTATAATGAGGGGAAAGTGAACATTTTTATTAAATGTTGAAACTTTTCTGTTTCTATCTCAGTTCACATTCACAGCAAGTTTCGTCGAAATTTATAACGAGAGCCTGCGTGACCTCCTTTACACCGGCAAGGCCAGCAAGAGGCCGGAGCATGACATTCGAAAGGCGACGACCGGTGAGGTGACGATCACTAACCTCACTTATGAAAAGGTCATCAACGAGGATCAGGTACGTTTGCTCAGCCGCTTCAGTTACTGGACTGTTCAAGATAAGTTGCATAAATATTACATGACAGAAAAAATATATACAGTGTATATCACCTAAATTAAAAGATTACAGTCGTTCACAGCAGAATTAAGGTGATTTTAATTTTTAAATCTGGACACCAGTGTGATTGAAATGATTTAACTAGATGTAAATGTTTTGCTTTACAGTAAATAATCGATGTGATCCCCTCCTCCTCCTGCCAGGTTCTCGGCCTGATTGCGTTGGCCAATAAAAATCGCTCCACGGCCCAGACAGCTCAGAATGACCGCTCCTCACGCTCACATTCAGTCTTTCAGCTGGATATCGAGGGAGTGAATTCTGGCAGGGATGTCAAATGCAAATGTAAGTATAATCACACTTATTATGCCAGAGAGTCTTGCTCTCACCTGTCCTGTCTGTTATTGTATGCTGTACATTTGTGGGGAGGATGATGTTGATTGGTGATGTACAGTGCTGTAAAAAAACTATTTCCCTCTGGGGACAATAACTTCTAATCTAGTTAAATCAAAAATGTGATTTCACCTGTGTATTAAACTCTGTGGTTAAATGGCCATCTCAGCGTAAATGTTATTGTTTCTCTCACCCACAGTTACAGAATATACCTAGTCTTGTATCTTCTTATCCAAACTTGTTGTGGTTTTTGCATAAAGTGATATGGGGTCTTTTTATAATCTGATTTTACTCTTTAAGTTGTTTTTTTTTTTAATAAAGATGTTTTTTATGCATATAGCCACTCTGTGCCTGGTTGACTTGGCTGGCAGTGAGCGAATGTTGAAGAGTCAGTCTCAGGGCGAGCGCTTCAAAGAGATGACGGCCATCAACGGCTCCCTGTCCAACCTGGGCATCGTCATCGCAGCACTGGCCAACAAGGTCTGTACGCAGAGGCCTGAATGAAAAGAGACTGCAGCTTCTGAGTCTGTGAAGCCATAGATATATGATTTATTTACAAAAATGCAAAACTGTTCAGTTAATTTTTCCGTTTTCATTTTGTTTTTTTGTGACAGGAGAGCTACATTCCTTACAGGAACTCTAAGCTTACCTACCTTCTACAGAACTGCTTGGGAGGCAACAGCAAGACGTGAGTTCTTGATCTACAAACGCCAGTGGTCTTATGTTGTCACTCATGGCAGCAAATCACCCTTTTCAGTCATAGTTCATCGGCTAATTTGACTGCAAATATTCTCCATATTAGATCTGTTTACTTCTACAATCAAGGAGGATTTTTTTTGTAGTTTTATTCTAATGGGGTTGTTTATATTATGTTTCTGTTTTTCTCATCCCAGCCTGATGTTCGTAAACATTGCTCCCGAGCCAGACAGCTTTGGGGAAACCCTCAACTCACTGAGGTTTGCAAGCAAGGTCAGTGGCATCTACAGGCATTAAATGTCCTGTCTCGATGAGACAGCTGATAAAAGATGACATGAGTACAAATGCGGGGGGTTTTCGGCTGTGGCGGGTAACACAGTGACTCCCACTAGCCACTTTGGTGTGTTGAAAAACTGTAGTCTTGTCAAAATGCATCTGAAATTGCAATTCAAACGAATACAACAAATATGACATCCAGACTTTTGCCAAACCAGAACAAGCCTGTAACAGTTGAATCTATTATGGAGCAGCCACAGTCCCTCAGACCTGTAGACCCTCAGTCTCCCTTCTTGTTTTAACCTGATGGCATGATCTCTGTCATCACACGCGACTGGTCGCATGCACACACACATCAACACAGCGGTCAGTCAGTGTTGTGCTGTAAGATTACAGATATCTTCATGATTTAGGGGCATGGTGGTGTTTAAAAAAGAAAATAACAAACTACTAGCAGGGCTGCGCTTATATCCTGTCATATTGCAACTAGGCTATGTTTCCAGAGCTGATTCTGTGTTTATAAATTAAAGTAATCATGCCATGTAGGAAAGCAGAAGATGCGTTTGTACTGGAATAATCTGGAAATAAAGACCTGTATACTTGTTTCAGGTGGAAGTATCTTCAGTTAATCCAAGCTACCAGAGCTTCATGATAAACAAAAATCCAGTCAGAGCTCTGAGGAAATGCAGATGCAAAAAAAACAATCCAAAAATGATATAGGCCTACATAAAGTTTTAATCCTGTTGCCTTAATTGAGGATTTTTTTCTTAGACAAAAATGATTTGTTATTCTTTGCCCTCGTTTCTAATGCAGATCATTTTGTACTCTGTATTATAGTATTTCCAGCTGTTATAAACCGTGTTTCTGACAAAAAAGTCAGTTTAGTTTTTATCTTTTCAATTCATATTTTACACCCATGCAGCACTTTAATTATATACAATAAGAAGCTACTCTTTTATTATTTATCTTAATAGACTATGTTTTTAAAAAATGAGCATTACACACAACCTTTATCAGAGCTAATGATAATATTAGGACATTTTAGCCCCCCATAGTCAACTTTAATCATATAAAATGTAATTTTCCAACAACAAAAATGTGGCTAGTAACTTTGGAAAACCACAAGCCACATTGATTAGTGAGCAAAAAAGTTAATGTCAAGCCCTGCTTGGCTATACAAGTTCTTTCTAGACTTATCAAAATTACTCCTGTGACGCATTTCTACCTATATTACAATAATTCAATTCAGCTTTATTGGCATGAATGTAAAACAACAATATTGCCAAAGCTGCAAATAAAATTACAAAAGAACAATTAAGTTCATACATATCATGAAATAAGTAAATAAACAGTAAAGGTTTGTGTGTTAGAAAATATATAAAAATAAAGTAAAAATAAATAAGTAAATTATTGATTAAGTCAAAGGGTGAACTGATCAGAATGTACTTTCACTTTAACAATTTTGTTTTGACATTTTGGGATTTTTACATGCAGTGTTTTGTGTTTGTTCTCTTTACAGGTGAACGACTGTGTTATCGGCACCGCATGTGCCAACAAGAAGTAGAGCGCTTTTAAAAAACAGAACTCTGTTTTTTTTAACCATTATGGACACAGCATGAAACATTCAGTATACATGTTTTCCATGCTTTTTTTACTTTTAAATGAATACTGTCATTTTTGTTCTTGATTTTTGGTGAAAGGTGTTTATTTCTCTGTCTGTAACATGGTGTTATAATAAAAACATTCAGTAAACATTCTGAAACCAAACTACAGTGTTCACTACCTTTTTGTATTCCAGGCTAATTGGTTCAGTTTCATTCGACTATAGTCTGGAAATTAACTTTAAGACATTTGTTTGAGAAGTCTGACTGTGAAGATCTAGTTGCATTTATTTTGGGTCTAAGTTATTTAGGCTGGTCAACTTCACATCAACCCTGTAGGTATATAAAGTAAACTTCTTGTGTCATATTTTTAAGGATGGATGTTTATTGCTTAACCACCATGACCGGCACATTAGTCACCTTTTGCTTCAGTCTCAGATTGTGTGTGTATACATAGGACATGAGGATAGTTTTTTTTTTTTTTTTCTCCACTGTATATCTTCTATCTCGTAATTTGAGGATTTACATGAAAGGAGTTTAATGAAATGGTGAAAAATAAATGCATGTAATTCAGTAAGTCTGTATGTATACAGTATGTTGGTTTGTGTGTGTGTATATAAGTATATGTGTATGTATATACACAATGTGTGTATAATTATCTGAGATGATTTTGGAATAAAGATCAGAATAAGACAAATTCATAGTGCTGATTTATATAATATGAAGTTCCTTGCAACAATGCAATGTGATAATTTCTTAGTGTTTCTAATTTACATCTGTAAAGCTATAATTAGAGACTGAAACTGTGATGATTGAGGAGGAGACTTGCAGCAGAGAAACATTTTAACAATGCTAGCTTGGTTTTCTTGTTTTTGTTTTGTATCTTTTCAACTAACGGTGTGTTTGTACCCCAGTTGTTGTTTTTGTTTTGCACTAATAACACAACACATGACCAAAGTGCTGTGGAATCAGTTCAGATCAGTGTGGGGACACTCTGGTATAACCCATATCATTCATGACATACAAAAGATAGTAAATGCACAACTTTGCTGCAAATATATATAACAACGCTTGTTGTCACTATTTATGTGCTTTTGCATTAATTTGCCAGGTCCCCTTGGTTTCTTTAGGTGAACAATTTGGTGTTCTTTGTGTTTTTTAAAACAAGGTGTTATGAATGAAAGATAAAGATAATGAATCCCAGGTGTCAAATTCACCAAAGCCAGTCAAAATGTGCGGATAGCAGTGGTTCTTAAATATTTTCACTTCAAAGACCCCTAAACTGATTCACATAAGACCAGTGTCCCCCCATCTGATAGGATTCTTGGTTTTAGATGTTCTATTGCAGAAAGTGTGAAACCCATGATGACAATAGTTACACATTTTGTCATTCATTGAATTGAATTATTGTGATTATTTTTGCAAGGGACCCCACTTTGAGAACCACTGGCATATGGGGTACTATGTGTATTTGCCCACTCTATTGCGCTATGTGTTATTTGAAACAGTACACAGTTTATACAGTATATGCATTTAATTTTTTGACCCCCCCCCCCCCCCACACACACACACACCTGGGGTACATATCCTGCTGTTATGGAGCAACATCTTTCATTGTGAGTTGTGTTTTTGGCTACCTGATGGATTTATCCAATATTCTTTCTTTTCAGTGTTTTTGGTCTTTACCAGCTCCTGGGGGAAATATGAGGCTCTTCAGCTGCCTAACGCTCCACTGGTTTGCTGTCGGCTGCTTAGCAGTTGTTGTACAGTGTTTTTCTTTACTGAAAAAGAGCTGCTTGTTGCAGCTGAAAAGGACTTTGAGTGGTGTGAGTGAACCAAGACAGTTTAGATGCAGATCAAGCAGCTTACTTATGAGCTGCTAGGAGCCGCAGGGCCAGGTGATAATTCTCTGTAGGGTCATTGCTACAAGCAACATGCTGGTGTAGATTCATGCTCTGTGTGCCACTGTTGATACCAGCCACTAAAAACAAACCAAGGGTACTTTTTACACAAGTGTATATCCTATATAACCTATTTGCCCTCAGGGACTGTGGCATACAGAACGTAGGCTATGCATCTTTGGAGGAGACACAGTATGATGAGGGGAAATTGAACATTTTTATTATATGTTGAAACCTTTTATGTTTAATTTGAGTTTACCTCCACAGTAAGCTTTGTTGAAGTTTACAATGCCATCCTTTACACTGGCAAGGCCAGCGAGAGACCTGAGATCTGATGTGTGACCAACAGGGAGGTGATAAAGTTCCTTAACGGCTGTTAACGGTTACTTTCAGTAATCTGATCATTTGTAAATATTTCTAAATTAATCTTATTCCTACTGTCACTGGAATGAATACTGGAAATGTTGACACTGTATGTTGACGCCGTGTTGAAATGTGTTTGTTTTATTATTTATTTAATTTATTTTCTGTCGGCCGAAGTCTGGCTCGTCTGTCTGGAATCCTTTTAAAGGCGACGCGTCGCTGTCTGCTGCTGCAGAAGAGCTCAGATGGGAACAACATTTTCAAAAAATGGTCCTCAAACTTCAGGGCCTGGAGAAGCTGGCGGGACACACTGCCGTCCGCTCGGTCAGAGACTGTACTTTTAAAGGCAGCGGTGTCAACTAAAACGGTGAGTTTGTTAATGTCCGCGGCGGCTCTCGGGTTCCTGTGGCCAGCCGTTTGAGCTAGCTAGCAGGCTAACGGCACATCTGTAACGCTATGAGTCTGAAGCTGTGACGATCTGCAACTGTGTCTGCTGTCTGAAAGGAGGAGACTTGCAGCAGAGAAACATTTTCTCAACAATGCTAGCTCGGTTTTCAATCAACAGCTTCGCTTTTGTGGCGTGTCAACTCACAGTGTGTTTGTAACCCAGCTGTTGATTTTGTCGTGCACTAGTAACACAACACATGACCAAAGTGCTGTGGTCGTGTGTGATGTGATGTGGACACTTTCTGGTGTTTTAGTTCCCTGTAAAGTGAAAACAAAATGACACTATCAATGTGTTGTGCAATCAGTGCAGGGACAGGCTGATACATAACCCATACAATGCATCAGGTCTGGGAAATAAAACAATAATAATTAAAGCAATATAATTTTCCTTAATAACAATAAAACATTGTCAATAAAGGTTTGATTTAATTCATTTGAATCATGAACGAATTTGCACTTAATTTTTCTATTAAGATATTTGATAAGTGTTTTGAATGTTCAACCCCAGATTTGTTCATTTATCCACTATTTGGCATCAAGTGTTTTTCATGTTCTGACTATAAAGAAAAGTTAACCCTCTGGCTTCTTTAACTTTCACTCAGTTCTTTAAACTTTAAAGAAATAATGATTTGACATTTATCGTGATAATAATCGATATTGAATGATATGAAATTTTTTATCGTTATAACATTGTTAGTCATATCTCCCAGCTTTTGATGCATGACATGACACACAATACATATGAAATGCACGTAACTTAGCTGCAAATATACATAATGATGTGTGTTGTCACTGAATATTTGATTTTTGTATTAATTTGCAATACATATTCTAAAATACAGTTTTCAGATATGAAGATAATGAATCCTAGGTGTAAAATTCACTCAAGTCAAAGCCAATCAAAGAAAGTGTGTGCTGATAGTGTTGCATGTAGGAGTGGGTCTCAAGCTTTTTCACATTACAGACCCCTAAAGTGAGACAAGTTACTTGATAAAAATGTTAGAGACACCTGCCAGTATATAGCAAATATAACAGGACCATGAAGTTGAATCCTATATTTATATTTATTCTTATAGCTGACACTTTTATCCAAAGCGACTTTTGTATCAGTGTGAACTAAATATTTTTGGACTGTTGGTCTGATAAAACCAGACATTTGAAGTTCTTTGACTCTTCAACTTGACTGGACATTTTTCTCTGTTTTCTGACGTTTTATCAAATAAGTCTGATAAAAACCTTACTTACCTTAACGGGGTTAGAATTTATTATAGGGCTATTAGATTGCTTTAGTTTTAGTTACGTCTACTTAATAAACCCAGAGCTGAATCACTTACTATATTTTGGGGATTTGTAAAAATACCTTGAATTAATAATTTAAAAAACACTGACGAGGTGAAGTTTATTTCAGAATAATTTCCAGAATGGCATTAATGTGACATTTAAACAAGTAATTGTTCCATACCCAAACAGATATGGTGACATTCTGGATATCAGAACATGGTCCTCTGGTTATTGTAAAAAATTTTATCTCACATCCCCACATCTCGACTGCAGCCTGGACAGCACACACTGCAGTAACAAACCAGGACAGTGTCATTATGGATGCAGTTGAATTAAATAAAAAACATAGTGGAATTGATAAAACTAGGTTTTTTTTTTTCTACCACCCAGATGCAGTCCCTGCCTATGGAAGTGGGCAGCAGCAGCTCAGCTCCCAGCGACACATCTGGCTCGGTGGTGCAGGTGTGCTTCCCCAGCGCTCGGACCTCGATGCTGGACAGCCTGAACCGGCAGAGAGAAGACGGCAGGCTCTGTGACCTCTCCATCCACGTCCAGGGGCACGTGTTCAAAGCCCACCGCTGCGTCCTGGCCGCCTCCTCACCTTACTTTCACGACCAGGTGGGAGTGTTGGGCTTTCAGGTCACCGCTAGGAAACAGCAAAACTTGTAAATGACAAAGATCTGACATTTTTTAATCAGGATGAACACATAAAAGCTGCATGGAGTCACACTGTCAGTTTATATTTTCATCAGGTGTATGTTACATCTACATTAAAATTTTGATCTGATGAATTTTAAATTAATTTAATTTGATGTAAGTTATGGTCATCAGTGCTGTATTGCAGATAGACACACAGGTGACGACAAGCATGGCAGAACAGGTATGAACAGTCATTCAGTCAGATATAACCATGTATTCAAAACTGAAATTCAGAAATAAAGGCCTGCATCGTGACAGCAGCCTCACACAGATCCTTTAATAATTTCAGTACTTTCTGCTTTTTCTGCTTTAATTATTTTGTTTCCAAAGAGCTTTACTCGCCGGCAGACAGATTTACCGTCCATAGAGGGTCACAAATTGTGACCAGTAGATTAATATTCCACCATTTTTGTATGAGAAAGAAGGGGCCTGGAGAGAGCGGGGAGGAGGAGTGAGGGAGGCAGACAAATCATTGATAGATTAGTTATTGTGACATGTTGTTCTCCACACACCTCCAGGTACTACTAAAGAACATGTCTACAGTCTCTATCCCGGCGGTAATGGACCCGCTGGCGTTTGAGAGCGTGCTGAGCTGCGCCTACACCGGTCAGCTCCAGATGCTGCGCGAGGACATCGTGAACTACCTCACAGTGGGCAGCGTCCTGCAGATGTGGCACATCGTGGACAAATGCACGGAGCTGCTGAAAGAAGGCCGGGCGGGGGGAGGGAGCAGCGGAGGAGGTGGAGTGCAGGATGGAGCCAGTGCAGGAGGAGGTGGAGGGTCAGCTAACCTCGGGTGTAGCAGCAGCAATGGTGACGGTGGCGCAGGTGGTGGTAACGCAGCTGGTAGTGATGGTGGTGCTGGTGGTGGTCAAGCCCAGGTTGTAGGGTCCAACGAGCCCCAGCGTGCCTCCCAACCTCCCAGCCGGCCGTCAGTGAGCGAGAGCCAGTCTCCCAGCAGCACCAACTACTTCAGCCCCAGGGACGGGAGCAGCTTTGGAGGAAGCTGTGCAGCTGCAGCTGGGGCTTCAGTGGACGGAGGCGGGGCTAGCAACACCCCCGGCTACTGCACCCCATCGGGAGGAGAGGAAGCCTTTCTTATTGAGGAAGAGGAGGAGGAAGTAGAGGAGGAAGAGGAGGAGGTGTTGTACCACCAGAGGAAGAGAGGAAGAGGGGGCAGCGGGAGGAGGAAGAAAATCAGCTCAGTGTCTGAGCAGGAAGTTGGAGTCAGTGACAGCTTTGGCGTGTCTTCCTATCAGGTGACGTGTGAGGGTCCATCAGTGGGAGCAACCGACACTAATGCACCTTTTAAAATAATTTTAAAACCTTTTATTTAGAAAAATGTGTTCAGTTATTTTGAAAATTTACTTTTAGATTTTTACTGCTTTGTTTTCCAATTAACATTATAAAAACTATAAAAATGTTATATAAAACGACATTATGTATTATACTCATTGTCATTTTGATGTTATTACAAAATTTCTAAATTATTACAAAAGCATGGATAGAAATAATAATGCAAAACACATGAGGAAGATCCTGTATCCTGAATATAAAAAATTTAGTATTCGGAATAATTGGGCCTTTTCAGATTTTCCTTTCATTAAAATAAATTAAAACATGTTTGGTGAGTTAAAAACTTAAACTGAAACAAAAATTCATGGTTGTCAAACTCACCCTCAAATCTGCTAAATCTGAATATACAAAGTTTCCTCATTAACTGTATTATAACCTGAAATATCTCATTTGAAAGGATGGGGAGAACTCCGCGTTGACACCGCAGAAGCGTCCTACCTACAGCCAGCCCAGCATCATGCCTCGTAAACAGTGGGTGGTGGTGAAAACCGAACGCATGGAGGACGATGACCTGATCGTAGTGTCCGGGGAGGAGGGAGAAGACGAGGAGGACGAGGAGGACAGGGAGTTGGAGCTGGCCAGGGAGAGGGCTAGAAGCGACTTTAACATCTCAAACGTCAGGAGCCTTTCAGCTGAGCTGGGGGGCAGAGCTGAGAATGACATGGACTCACAGGTGAGCTGAAACTCACTTAAAAGACACAATGTGAAGAAGGTTTTTTTATTCACCCCTAGGAGGCGACAAAGTCACAAAGTTTCAAATTGTACACAAAGAGGCTCAAACTTATAGGTGCTCTCAGAAAATGTGAATATTGTAGCAATATCGTTTGAAGTTTGAGAAATTGTGAGCACCAGAACCAGACTGAGAGATTAAAGGCTCAGGAAACCTTTGCAGGTGTTTACATACATACATTATAATACATTTCTGTATTATAAATTCTTTATTCTAAAATTAAAGTACATTTTGTGATACTGGAAATTTGAGATGCTGTGACGGAGTACCGTCACTATGATTGAGAATGTGCTTGGACTGCAATACCAAGAGCCTGGCTCTTTGGCGTTGCGGTCAAAGTTGCGTGTTTGGTACCCTGCAGCCCCGTATTTGTATCTGGGTAGGGTGATTGCTCTTCGCTACAGATGCACCTGTATGCAACTTCTTTCTTCAGTTGAGAAATACAACCATCTGAACCTGGGTAATGTGCAGAAGAAAAAATATTCATGCAGCATATGACACTTGCACTACACTTGCAGTATGCACCAGCTGGTGCACATTGTTACAGTTGTGCATATAGTTTGTGAGAAATCACTGAAAAGTATGTCTACTACTTTTACCTACCTACTACAAATTTTGCTAATTGAAGTAGGTAGGATCTTATAATTATAACTTCTTTTGCATTCATCACTGATCTAGAAAACCCTCCCTGTCTGTCTCTAGGTTGACTACTGCCAGTCTTCAGAAGACTACCTCAAGTTTGAAGGCAGTTTAATGGACCAGACTTTAGCTCAGCACCTTCATGACAGTGCGGCAGGTCAGAGCCAGAGCGCTAACCGTGCTGTTTCAGCGCTGCTGGGCCAGGTTCAATCTGCAGCCACCGCCCGGGCCCAGCTGTTCCCCCTGGACATGCAGGGGAACCAGATCCTCCTCTACAGCCAGGCCTCCGGACTCTCTCTGGACACTGCCGCCGCTCCCCTGGGAATGGCAGGTGGTATGATCGGAGGAGCCTCTTTCAAAGGTCCCAGTCTGGAGCACGGTGCGGTCCACCTGTCGGTGCAGGGCGGTTTGGGAGTTGACGGCATGGACAGCGGGGGGATTGGAAGCGGAAATGGTGGCAGTAACAGCAGCTCTGGGGGTTCAGGGAAAGTGTTTATGTGCCACTGTGGTAAGACCTTCACCCACAAGAGCATGAGGGACCGCCACATTAACATGCACCTGGACCTGAGGCCGTTCCACTGCCCCGTCTGTGCCAAGAAGTTCAAGATGAAGCATCACCTCACAGAACACATGAAGACGCACACAGGCCTCAAACCTTACGACTGCCTCGGCTGCGGCAAGAAGTTCATGTGGCGCGACAGTTTTATGAGGCACCGCTCGCACTGCGAGAGGCGCAGCGGGCTGGGAGACAGCGGCGAAGGCGGGAGCAGCAGAGATGGAGGGAGAAGAGGAGATGGAGGTGAGGATGGCCCTGATTTGATTTCCTCCCCTCACCTCCTCCTGTCTGCAGGTGAGGGCAGTATTCTGGGAGGAGGAGGAGGAGGAGGAGGGGGAAGAGGAGGAGTGTCTGTTTCTTCTCCGCATCTTTCCGCCGCTGTTCTGTCGCCGCAGCACGCTGGCGTCTCAGCAACTGGAAGTAACAGCGGGAACAGTGTGAGTAACAGCGGCAGTAGTGCTATGAGCAACATGGCTGCTGCAGGGGCGCTTCTAGGGGTCGTTTCTCAGAGTCCGGGTCAGGGATCAGGGATGTTTAGTGGTCTAGGGTTGGGTCGAAGTGTGTGTGATGAAGACGTGTGTGAAGTCGGTGCCAATGACAGTAGTGTGACTTAAACCAAAATTGTGTGCAATGTCTAACGGGTGCCTCTTTCTGAGCAAACGATCATCTTGTTCCTGCTGCTGTTTTTACAAAATAGTAAACTTGGAAGAAGCGCAGTGCTCTTCTGAAACACTTTAACTGCCAACACTCAGCATTTCAAGCAGGAAGTGCGTACTTTGTCAAGTATGGGGAAAAAAGGCGAGGCTCCCGTTGGACACAACCCTGAAGAATCTGTTAGTATTTATAGAAAAATGGGACTTCCAGTCGACTGTTGTGCCGTGAAGTTGCCATCTTAAATTAAACTCAATTCTGGTACCGCAAAGACTTTAGAAAACTTGCCTCCTTAAAAGTGGCCTCATTAAAAATGGACCTTCTGTCTCAGTGAGTAAGCTATTGTTTAAAATATCCGAGATCTTATCAAAGTTTTATTTTTTTTTGGTTTTGTGAAAGAATGCTGCGCGTGTCGAGAGGAAACCAAAAATGAAAAGACAGTGCTTACCTTCTGTGGCGACGTTCAGTAGTATCAGTAGAGTAGAAAAATGTCTGTTCTAAATTGCTGTGATTTCCTGCAGTAGTGTATTGTAATGTATCACTGTCATATGATTGAAGTAAATAAAAAAACACACATCTGCAAGAGAAAAGAGAAAAACTTACTCAACAAGTAATTCATATAAGAAAAGAACAAGCTGAAGTTGCAGATGTGTGTTTTTTTCCTTACAGTGGTAACAGACTAACTGTCAGCACTGCCATGTTGTTTTAGATGATACTACGGTGCTGCTTTGCTTGAAATCTATTCTGGATTACAGTGAAAGGCTCAATAATTTATCCTCACCACCCTGAAAGATCCCAGACATGTGCAGATATTTAACAGACAGGAACAATTTTGTCTTTCGGCTTCATGTAGGATTCAGCCGGTGAGCTCGAGCCTCCTCCAGATTCATTTTTCAAAACATAACAACCTGTTTGCTTGTTGAAGTAGCAAAAGTCCAAGATGATGTTGTCAGTCTCTTTACGAGTATGGTCCGGCCCTACATAAACACAAACACTACCTGTAACTGAGAAGCTCGAAACGTGCCCTCCGGAGCTTTAAGAGCAGGAGGCGATGAATCTACTCAGTAGAAGCCCCCCCCCACTGGCTTTCAATTTTGCTGCTGTTGCCTGCTTTCACTTTCTTGTTCACAGAGTTCTCGTGCTTTGAGAAGTATATTGTTACTGTAAATATATAGAAATATATGTGGTTTACTGATCAGACCTGGAACTAAAACTAACTTGTTATACTGATAGGTTTGCTGCCGTCTGCTCTGCTTTGGCAGGAGTTAATGAGTTGTCGAGAAGGTTTTTGAAAGTGCGATGAATGTGATGAAAAGTATCAAAACCTAGCAACGTTAGATGGTGGTCTTATCAAAAAAGCTATACAGTGTATAGTGTGTTTACAAGCGTACCTCCTCCGAATAGTTGATAGAGTAGATTTTAATCTACAAATGTAAAGAGAACCTTCTTTTTCAGCAGCCGTTATGCACACGAAGAAGAAAAAAACGTCTTTTTACTTTCCAAAATGTTGTTATGAAGAGTGTTACACGTTTCATTTGCCTCTTTGTCTTTGGAGTACAATATTTTCCACTTGTGGATTTTCTTCCTGCAGTAATTTAAAAGCATTATTGAGTCATACAGGTTCTGACCTCCCAAAAGTTTGTAAATGTTGAGCGACATTTTATCTCTTAATGACATTAGAGGTGAGCAGTGTTTCCGTCTCTGTTCTTGTTCATGTTTCAGCAGTGGTTTTGGCTCCTGGATGTGAATGTGGTAATAGCAAAGGTACTTTGTTATAAAGAAAAGCATTAGTTTGAAATATAATTTAAAAAGTGGTTCGGTTCAAATATAAGTTTTCGATTTAATAGATAAAGATTTTAGGTAAAGTTTTAAAGAATTTCCACCATGCAGTTCATTATTTTTTCTTTGTCCCAGTGTAGAGAGGAAAATGCAGGGCAGAGAGTCATCTGTCAAACACCCTGAATATTGTATTTCCTTTTTATCCCCATTTAGAACAGTGATTGTAAAGCTACTAATTAATTAGTTGATAGAAAAAATATTCAGTGACAATTTTAATACTTGTGTCAGGTCAAAAGTGTCAGATGAAAATACAAAACATTTTGTGTTAATTGGTTGATTGGCATTCTTGTCTATTCAGATTGATTTGTAAATTTAAAACCTTTTTTTCTGTCCATAGAAAAATGGTGTAAGAAAATAAGACGTCTCATTTGGTTGTATTAACTTAAAAAGAACACTAGTCATAATGTTAGACTATTTGAAACAATTAATCTGATATTATTAATAATAATAATAATAATTGAAACCACTGCTAAATTAATATTTGGGGAACTGCTGCATTGCTGATAATATTAGTTTCTTGTAGGATCTCAGGATCCTCTTGGTTCACTCACAATAAAAACAAAATTAAACTTGCTCTCAATTTGTTTACTTTGAACCTCATAGAAATGTAACCTCACAGTTTCTCTTCCTCAGTTCTCCACTGTGGTGAAAACACACTATTAGTTCTTTGCTGTATCTATACTGGTTCTGTAGCTGTTAGAGAATAAAATCAGTAGCGTGGGATGATTTATGGACCATACTGAACATGTAGCGGTACAACTACTGTGAGGGGCATTACACTGCACATAATACACAGTATGAATACTTTCTGCATTTGTTTTTCCATTAAAACACTGAGTTGGTTATGTTTGTAAAGGAGGTTGTATTTTTCCATCTTGTCAACATGTTTGAAAGTGGGACATAATAAGTTCAGTTGCCTTAACAGCACATTGACTTACTCATTCAACTAATTGTTCAAGTGATTTCTGTATTTAATAATTATATTTTGTAATGGTAACAAAACTTGTAGTTATACGATTTAAAACTACTATAAAGAACATAGTGTTTTTAAAGTATATTTAAACCATGGAGCTCATTAGTACCTTGTATTGGAACACTTTAAACATAGTTCAGGTTAATTACTTACCCATCATTATATATTAGTGTACAAGCTATATTAAACCAGAGGTAGCCACAGCAACCGTGCCGATCCTTTAAACTACATCACCAGATAACTCACTGGTAAAACTAATAATCACACATTGTGGCCACAATAAAAGAATTATAATACATTCCAATGTGTCCTTTTATAAAAAGTCATAAACTCATTAGAAGAGAGGAAATACTTCACCTCCACCTCATTCGTTGTTTTAAGTTGTCAAATTACTTAATAGAACTCAACATTATGCATCTGTAGTACAGGAAGTGAATAGTGGGAGTTTAGACTAAAAAATTGTTTATGTAAATACTTTTGATAATATCATTAGTTTTAAAATGTGCTGTGCATCTCATTCAGATGTAACCTATATGTAAAAATGTGTCCCGTTTAAAAAATCAATTTAAAAACTAGCTATGGTACAATTCAAAGAGAACATGGTCTTCTATGAGAGAAAAGTGTCTTTATTTGTGATAAAATCAGGCGCAGCCTTTAATTGAATGTTTCTTTAATCAGTATTCGCTTTCAAAGAGATGTGGGCCCCCTTGTGGCCACTGTTGGTACTACAGCAATGAAATACATAAGAGTGTTTATGAAGAGATGTATCTATTAGTTTCACTCCTATATCTAACATAGTTTAACAAAATCAAACCTTGTAGAAAACATACTTCAGTGTGTAGCTACAGCACAGGACAGTCAGTGGTGGAGGAGATTTTACACCCGACCTCTTAAACATTTTGCATGCCGTCAGAGATGTTTTACATTTGCAGTTACATAGAGCAAAGAGATGGAGGATCTGAATGTTTTACCTTCTGTGAAGGCTGGGTTTGGATATTTTTATATGCAGGTTTGACGTGAAACGACTGTTGGCTTATGTGTGTGTTCAGTGACCTCCAGTGTTTTTTCTCAATGACTCTGTTTCAGTTGTGTTTGTGGGTAATTTTGGTTACACATTTGTTCCTGTTTGTTTGCACCACTGATGAACAGCTACAGAGAAAACACTGGATGATTTCTAAGAGCGGACTGGGAGAAATGATCTAATGCTTTGTTTAATTGTGGAGTTTGACACATTTGAAGTGTGGCACTCGCACGTTTAATCACGCATGTAGATAACGTTCACTGAGAGTGAATGTAGTGAACAAGATGAGCACGTTTATCATGAAGAGACAGAGTTGTTTAATGTTCAGGCTCAGAGGGGAATATGGGAATTCTTAGTCTTTACTTGTGAAACCAGTCATTCTGATTTCTAAGCAAGACAGATTAATCTCTGCTTTTTACATCCAATAACTGAAGAAGACGGTTTCTCCTCTAGTCAGTAACAGCCCTGATGATAAGACTCTGTAATGCTCAGATTTAACTTTCCTGTGTCATGTAAGTCTACACACGAAGGTTAAACCTGTATTTAAGTTAGACCGGCAGTTCATATCTGAGTTTCAGTTGACTTTGTGATGTGCAAATGTGCTCTTACAGTTTAAAATCCCTCAAATGATAATAAAACCTCAACAACATGTTTTCGGTACAGTGTTAAGTCTCGTGTAAAGTGCAAATACAAAAACAGTTTTTTTTTAAAAGGTGGTCATAATTTGATCTTGTTATATCACCTCCACATCTCTTAATGTATCAAACTGTAAAATGTCCTCATTCAGGAGGTGTATGATGACAAAATTAGACCACAGAGTTCAATTTTTTAATTTGTTTAAGGGCCTTAATCACCCCATTATTTCACATTGCCTTTTGTTGACCTCCTAAATAAAGGATTAATGTGACGTGTGTCGTATATTGTTGTTGTCTCCAGCAGCTCTGCGGCTTCATCTGCTGCCGCACCGACACGCAGTTTCTGACCTACAACAGACAACTGAAAACTCCAAACTATAACCTAGTTTTCTCTGGCACCACCTTTTATTTGAAAGAGTGACAGAAGAGCCAAATATTTACCTCCTTTATCAAGAGAAAGTAAAAGATGGAAGGATCTGTGTAGGAAGCTCAAAGTTGCTGCTGAAAACTAGACTGAGGTATTTTAATTATTTTTGTACATTCAACAAACTATGTTCCACAACTGCTTACATGTCTTCTGATTGACCAGTTGATTGTTGAACAGAAAATGAGTTGTCATTTTTATGTAAATCCTGAGTGGTACTAATAATGTAAAAAACTACAATATTCACCTCTGCCCTGTATCAAAATAATGGATTAATAAATGATTTGTTGCGAACAATGGACTATGTTTGTCATCTCTGTTCAAGTGTCAAAAACGAAATCTTGGGAGTGTATTCTTTACAAAATGATTAAGACCAAGAGAAGCTATACAGGTTTAGGCCTGATTGGTACCTGCACAGGTGGAAACAGTGTAAACACCTCAACAGTCAGAGAAAATTGCAGCTGTGCAATAGCAACATTCATTTGCAATACATAAATATTAATTTCTATAATACAGAAATGAAGCTACAGATGTAACAATCAAACTTCCTCCCTCCCAATCCCAAAACTCAGGTATCTGCTGATGCTGAGTACCGATATCAAACCAGGGACCTCTTTTATTCAGTTTTTTTAATTCTGTATACCTCATCAGCTTACATTTTTATGTAAGGTGACATGAGGACCGCCATGATGGAATGAATAAAACTGTTGGTGGAAACACTGAAGTTTATAATAACTTAGAATTTGTTTTTGTTTTTTTTGTTGATCAGTCACATCATGGCTGAATCTTGACCCATTTAATAAAAATAAAAAAAGCGGGGGCGGCACAGATCTGGTGGATTGTATCAGTTCATTTGTAGCTACAACTATAAATGAGCTTTGTAGGTTAAAACAGTGGTGTCACCTGTGAGAATATCCACCAGCTGAGGAGACTAAAATTACCTAAATACTACAATAAAATACACAGATTAGCCATAACTTTATAACCGCTGACAGGTGACGTGAATAACACTGATTACCTCTTTACCATGACATCTGTCAGTGGCTGGGACATATTAAGAAGCAAGTGAAAACTGCGTCTTCAAAGATGATGTGTTAGAATCAGGAAAAAAAAACAGGCCACTGACAGGGTTTGAGCGACTTTGATGCATCTCCAAAACGGTCTGCAGGGGTCAGTACCTATCAAAAGTGGTCCAAGGAAGGAAAAGCTGTGAACCAGCGAGAGGGTCATGGGGCAGCCATGGCTCACGTGGGGAGTATATCCATATAGCCTCAGCAGACCTATGTATCTATGTTTTTCATACTGTAAAGCTCAAGAACAAATGAAAATCCAAATCAGCAACACACATATATAAAAAAATGTATCATTTATTTTATTATCAAAAAAGAAAAAATTCACAGTGAATGATGGATCACTCCTCTGCATAAATTAGGCCTGATATCGAAGTTATGACAAACTACAATCCAGGTCTAAATTCTTGGACTTTTTACCCAAAAATATAATTTTGTATGTGTGGTAATATTTAATAAAATTGGGATTCAGGAGGAAAAAACTCAAACAGGAATTGTTATAAGGATAAAAATTCACTTCACCAAAAGGCCCAGACGGTGAGTATACTAGTTCTCTAGGGACCAGCAGGACAACTTATAGTTTTTATAAAGGACGCGATGCACATTGATAACAAGATTTTCAATCATCAAACTGAAAATCTTAAATGCAAAACTGCCTATAAGAAGAAGAACAACAAAAAATGTCTCCATAGACCCAGTGTATTAACAAGAAGAGAACACAAATCTAAAAGCTGCACTATCAATCAGTGTGTGTCAGACTAAACTGGATTTCCTTCTTACGTGGTTTATGAAAAGTCAGCACTGCTGGAAATTTTTTTAAGATCTAGTCATTAGACTCGGGTGTTCATGGTCGTTAACTGGGCCAGGTTTGGGTCGAATAGAACTGGTTTCACCTTTCGGATCGAGACAAAGACTACTGTGGAGTCCAGGTGAATTAACGTCGTTATTGGGGCAGGACAGAGGAGCTGGTATTGAGGTGAGATTCAACTCTGAGATGCATTAAAATGAGAAACTTACGTCCTCTGCTTTGGAAATGTGCCAGAATCACCAGGATGCATTTTTGTGCTATAGCTACTTAAAGAATTAGGCTGGCATTGTTCATTGTCTATTTTTCTTAATGTCAACAAAGCCCATTCAAAGACAAAAAGTGTCAGCTCATCTATCTACTTTCAGACTTCCTAACCCTCTCTCAGCCCCAAGCCCATTGTTTCCCATCTACATCTTTAAAATGGCTCAATAATTAAAACAGCTGGACCTTGTTTTTAGCAAAAGTTACACAAGAAAAAGGTCTTTTCATGGGATTTGTTGTCTAGAACATTGCTATCCTTATGCTTCAAATATTTGTCAACATTCCTCATTCAAACCCATAACTATCTGGAAACTCTTTAGCTTCCCTGCTGCAGTCAAAGAAAAAAAAAAAAAAAAAAAAGTCAAATGTTCCCTATTCTCACTGCTGCAGTCCACAAATCTTGCTAACGAGAGTACAAACCACAACACAGCTCACTAATTCAATGCATAAATAGCAACAAGTAAAACAACGCCAAAATTCCTGCTATCCAGGCCAACACTTCCCTCTCCTTAAAAAAAAAAAAAAAAAGGGAAAAAAATGTAAAAAAGGCGATTGTAATATAAAAATGTAAACAAACTCGCCAGTCAAGTGTCTGTGAAAACAGAACTCCCCGTCTGGGCCACGTGTCCGACTGCACAGTTCATGTTTTCAGGCACTGGTTTCTTATCTAAACCACAACAACAAATGTTGTATGAAGTCACGGAAAGAAAATCCCACAAGAAGGACTTTTTACTCTGTGTTCAGAGCAGTAAAAAAAAACATTTCAATGCCACTACCAACAGGAAGTCAGACGCGTTAGTAGTGTTGCACTGAAAAGCAGGAAACAACAAAGGTCTGGCTGCTGGGCTCACCCAGTAGATCTGGACGAGGTCATGTGTAATGTACCAAAGAAGAGGTCAACGTCAGCCGATGTTTCTCTACGTAAAGAAAAGGACGGCTTGTGCACGCGGCAGAAGAAGAGTGCTCCCAAAACCATGATTTTTCCAAAATAACATGTCCTGTTTAAGCAACTCTCTTTCAAATGTTACAATTATTTTATTATTAAGTCCTTTACAAAAACTCCTGTCTTGTCTTTTGTTTGGTAATATTTAATCAAGTGAAATCAGCTACTTAATTCAGTTTTCTGTCTTCCACAGCAACATCAGCAATTTCAACAGTTCTGAAATGAAAAAAATAAAATGATTGCGCTCACTGTACTGCACGACTCTTCCACATGTCACCTGTGTTCTGGCACCGATTTCTTGAAAAAAAAAATGCATTTCTAAGGAACGTTCTTATGTGATGGCTTGTAAAAAGGGTAAAAAGGTGGAAGGTCATTCTGAGTCCGACAGGACGATGATCTCATCTGGGTCACACTGGGTGGCCACGTTGACCTGGAAACACAAACAGGGGAGCGGTTAGAAAGTGTGTCGTCTCTGAAAGAAATGAAACCAGTCGCTCACATTTACATTTTATACTTTATTTAATTCTGTGATTCAGTCACATTTCATCGGGAATCACATTTTGAGTGATCATTTTGAATTTCACAAGTATGAGTGTGATCGGGGCTCATACTTTTCTATTTTAAAAGAAAATCTGAATTTATCACCATTTATATAGAATATTAAACATTATAGAAAATTGGAGGATGTAAAAATTATTTTTTCTTTAAAAAACAGTTAACAGTTTATTTATTTATAAGCACATTGTGAGCTGTAAACTGTGGTAGACAAGATCTACTTGTAGCAGGAAATCTTTGGGTCAACATAAATAACAACTGTGTGAAAATCTGTTTAAACTGATTTGCTCGCCCCAATAAAAAATAATTCTGTCAAAATCAGTACAAAAAAGATCCAAAAGTAAACAGCGATGTAAAATAAAAACATATATATTGTTATATTCAATTTTGTGAGATGTTTACAAATACGTAATAATAAAACTGTCATAATAATAATCCACTATATAAAATGAAAACATGATACAGTGATGGTGATAACTTAAGTAAGGATGAGAAACACCTGTGGAACATACTGAAGAACCTGAGAAGATCATTTCTTTTACATTAAATACTGTATAAAAGAGACACAAAGTCATAAACTAGATCAAACCTACCCAATTAAACAATATAAATACAAAGTCAAACTGTTCTGTCAATCTTGTAACAGGACTGTGATCCAGGTTCTTCACATGCAATCCTCACTAGGACTGTACTTTATCTCATTTACCATCTGTTTGCCCGTACCTTGTTTTTCTTGGGAGGTGGTGTCGACTGTGAGCTGCTGACAATTTCCTGGGTTGGGGTGTCCGCTCGGGTTGACTCTACCTGCTGTGGAGAATTGCAGCTAATAACGCCCATATCCAGAGGGATATCTGCCTCACTGGGGAAGAGAACAACAGATGGATGTAGAGCGGGATGGATAGAATTAGGGTTGAGAAGTAAAGAGGTACAACAACATCAACAAAAACCTTCCTAATAATTTAGTCCAGAGCAACATTATTACTAAGTGTAATACAACTACAACTAACATTGCGTACGAGTCTTCATAGATACAACACAGCCTTACAGTACCTGTCAGCGATGATTATGTGCTTTGTATTTTGAGAGCTCCCTGATGTCATTTCCTCCCTCTTCCTCTTCTGGCTCCTCGTAGTTCTGGGACTGGGCGGCGGCGACGTACCGTTGCTCTGCGTGTCATGCTTTTCTACTATGACAGCTGGTGACAGGGGCAAAGACACCCCATTGGCCGCTCCCAGGGAGTCGTCTGCAGAGTCCTTCGTGACTTCGCTAGTGCTTACGTGCACATGATTGGATGAGTCCACAGGCTCCTCTAATCCTGCAAGGTTACCATTAGACAACGGCCTCTGGTTTTCAGTCTGCATTGGCTCTGATTGGCTGGGACTGTGACTCGGGGAGGGGATGTCAGACAGCGGAGATATCTGGGACTTGCTTTCATCCGAAAGAGGACTGAGTCCACTTGTGACGGGCTCCTCGTCCTCATCTTTCACGCTTCCTTCTTCCCCTGCAGAAACGTTTCCCGACACCTCGGCTGTCTGATCGTCACACACTTGTTCCGCCTCGTTGTTGTCGTCTTCCTCGTTCTCATCGTCGTCTATAGAAAGACAAATATCAATGCGCTGATATCTTTACTCCCCAACCGATTTATGATACAGGTCCGGGTGGTCTGTACAAACTTTAACTCAATGCAGAATCTAATGTGTAAAACATGCCATCATATTATATAATTAACTGCAGCACTGCGTCAGGCCTGGAGTGCCGTTTTATCTCCCGATACATCAGCACCTGATTGTGACTGACATTGCATCAGGATGTGATCAATGAGTCGCCTTCTGTGCTGATCCAGAACCATCCCATAATCAATTCAGTTAATAGATAACAGTCTAAAAAGAGTACTAGAATATAAATGAATTATTGATACGTTACTTAGATGATTGACTGTCAATGAGCAGAATGATGTACGTGCAGAGTTTGACACAAGAAGACCGTTTTCACATTTTACTACAGATGGGGGACAGTTTCAGGCAGGCGTGATGTGGAAACCTGTAGCCTACAGCACGGACACTGAGAATCGACATTTCAGTGAAGTCGAAAATGTTTTTCTCCAGCAGTCAAACCTTTAAAATGAGCAACATTTGCATTCCCATAGATTCAGGTGTTTCTGTGGGGAGGAATGATTGCAGTATATATTTGAATAATGTAATGTTTTTTTGGAAAGGAGGTGGGGGTTATCAGACATTAATAATTTTTCAAGGCGGAGCATTTTATATGTCTCTATATATATCTGGAGGGGATCTTTCTTCTATTTTTTCTGACTTAAGCAGAGGTGCACTACAAAAACACTACAGGAACGCCTGGTGAGGAAAATATGAAAGAAAATATCTGCAGCACAGATTTTCTTTTTAGCATTAGGTGGGCAGAGCTATTTGCATGATGGGAATATGGAAATTATTTAAAGCCCTAGCCACACCTAAGTGGTGTTCAGGGACAAACACACTAATGTGCTCTCCTAAAACAGAAACACACTAATGTGCTCTCCTAAAACAGAAACACACTAATGTGCTCTCCTAAAACAGAAACACACTAATGTGCTCTCCTAAAACAGAAACACAGGGTCAGGGTTGCACCGATCAAGTGAGAGAGATTTCCAAACTGCAACCTCATAACGGAAATATGCAACAGAGATGCTCGGGAGGTGCTCATCACTATTAGAGACGTTTTAAATAAGACATTCTCAATAACCTAATACCGTTTTAGAGTAAACTAAATATGTTTTGGAAATATCTAGTTGACATTGTGAAAAAACGAAAAATGAATTAACATTTGAACGAATATCTCCGCTCTGACCTGGTCCATCCTGCTGAGTGCTGGCCTGGATCTCGTCCTCGATGTCAGGGTCTGATGATTCATCTTCTTCATCGTCATCCTCCTCCTCCACCTCTTCGTCTTCCTTGTCTGCCACTCCATTCACCTTTTCTTCCTCCTTCTCTGCCACTCCATTCACCTCTTCATTTGCTTCCCCGTTTTCTGATTTTTGGACCTGACAATAAGATGAGTGAGGGTCAGGCAGGAACAGAGACGAAAGGTCAAATATACACTCAGTGGCCACTTTATTAGGCACACCTTTTACAATCAATCAATACAATTACAATTCAATACAACAGCACTCCCATAAATTCTACCTTCACAAGTTGGTGTTTGAAGGTCCGGTACAGCCCATTTCTATAGACTGACTATTAAATGATTTTTATGATGTTGTTACTTTTTTTTTACTGCTGTCTCTTCTTATATGTATGGTTTTATCATTTTATTCTTTTAAGGCACTTTGTGGGTGTTCAGTGAAAGGTTGGAAATGTGTAAATTCAGTTATATGTTTAATACTGAGGTCATAGTTAAAGGTGGTATTGGACTGAACTTCATGATATTGAGAGGAATTTAATTTATTTAATTTTTGTCCAACCCATTTAAATTAAGGAGCAGAATATTAGAAATGCTTCTCAATATAATGCAATGCAGCAAGAAACGTCACTAATTATAACCTCAATTTTACAACACTTAATTTAATTAAAACCTTTATGACAGTGTAAAAAACAGATCAGTTTAAGTGCCATAAAAGTAGACTTTCTGGCAGAACAGCTGTATGGCATTGAATAAGATTTTACAGGTGTACCTAATAAAGTGGCCACATACAGTGTAATGCTGAGTTTTATTATTATATACTGTACTTTAAACAATTTGCAGAGAGGGAATGCAGTTGATAGTTCAGGTAGGTGCATTCATGTGCCGATAGGAAGCTCTGTCATCTGAGACATTAGTTTCATTCAAAATGAAACCAAAACCAAAAGCAGAAGATGGTGATGATTTTCCTCCTTCCTCAGATGTTCTCGTACCTCTTTCCCTTTGCTGTCCTTCTCCTGTCGCTTGGTCCTCTCCTGCTCCTCTGTGTCCTCTTGTTTGACGGCGTACTTGGTGATGACCTCCTCCAGACGGGACAGAGCCACTTCTCTGTTCGACCGCAGCTTCCGCTGCAGCGCGGGGTCTGACAGAGCCGGGTCTTTGGCTTTAGAGAGGAATGAAAAGTGTAAGCAGGTGTAGGAGCAGTGGGTGGAAAAGAACAGATAGATGAAGGAAAAAAGGACCAGGCAAGAAGAGATGAGAGTCAGGTGAAGGCTGCAGACAGAAGAAATGTTTATCCCTGCTGAAACCTTACCAGGCATGTAGTGGTCGGTGAGGTGTGAACCAAAGTTGTACACCAGGTCCAGGTGACGCCTCTCCTGCATTTGGCTCCCCGTCTCTCTGAAAGCCTCCTGGGCGATCTGGTTCAGCTGTTTCCTGCTCAGGCACAGGTTGTGGCGCTCATTGGCACGCAGCACCTGGTGGAGGATGTCTTGGTAATCTGGAGGGTTCCTGTGCGCCTCAGGGCTGTTGATGAAACGCTCGATCTGACAGGAAGAAGAGCCGTAGGGTAAAGGATCAGGGGCACATCAAATTCACCCGCAGAAAAAACAGTAATACCGAATGAAACTTCTCCGCCAACCAAACACACAGTCAATATCTTAACACCAAACACATGGTTAAGTCTTTGTTTCCCCATTTAAACTTGCTTCTGTATGATGTTTGTGTTGCTTTGTTTTGTTTTTATGAGTTACTTGGTTCAAAAAGTTGATAAGTGAATGACAGCTTAACTGCTGCATCTCTAGATTGTACCAATTTCCACTATAAAGCTGGACAACTAGCAGACGTGGAGGTGAGTGTCTCGCAGTCATTCAAGATCTGCAGAGCTGGCCTTTCATCTCTCACAGTGTGGGATACTGTTTCATCTCTTTGTCAATGGGAGGGTTTGAATAAACCTTTTTGCTGAGATCTGTGAACTGCCCTTTTACTTCTCAATAGTTAAAGTGTCAACTTGCCAGACAAGACACCGGGGAGATCTCCACCCGTGGGAGATAACAGCGTGACTGGAGCCACTAAACGACTCTATTATCTGGCTACAAACCACAGGAAAAGGTCTGAATACAACAGACAAACGTTTCCTTTCCGTTTTCTCTTTCTCTGTCTCACACACACTTTTTAACAACCTGATCTTTGCTTATGAGTTTATTATTACTACCTAATTTATTAATTTCTTGATCAACATTTAACTTTAAATAAATGTTTAAATTATTGCCAAGTTTTGTCTGTGAATTTTTATTTAAAGCAGAGACTAAGGATCAATGTATTGAGAATTTACAACTCAGGTTATAAGACTATATTATAATATTACAAGATAATAAGAGATTCGTTTGATTGATTTATTTCCCCTCAAATGTAAGAGGGGGCCCAAACTTTAATGAGTGCAAAGGTTTCATTTTAAAAGAAGTTGATACTGCTACAAAGTTACGTAATTTTGTGTTTTCTTTTGTGCTCTAAATGTTTTAAAAATCTAAATAAAATAAAAAGATTTATAGTATCAAATCCTGCTGATAGTAATAATTATAGCGTTCATGCAAGACTGAAGTCTGTAACTGCTCTCTCTAATGTTCTTACACTCAAAATTTTACACGGTAGATGGTCGGGACATTAAGTCCTAGTTGAGAGCAGGACCTTGAAAAAAAGTTTTACCCAGCTTTCCAGCACACTTATAAAACCAACAAAAAGCAGCTCACCCTCCTGTTGATCTCAGGATAACGAGTGCTTTTGTAGGGGATCTTCTGCTCAATGACTCGGCCCGTTAGTGTGCTGCAGTCCTTTAGTTCACACAGCTTTTCATAAATCTTCATCATCTGGAAAAAGAGGGTGGAAGGGAGAGATTTAACTAGCTGTCACACAGCCTGATGTAATGGCTCTTTTCACACTGTTGAGCACTTTATAACCAGAGAGGCTCCGAGCTGCGTCAAATTCCAGGCTGACCTTGCGTTTCAGCTTGTGCTCCTGGATGTATAAAGATTCCTCAGACCCCAGGTCATCCAAACTCAGCTCAGCCTGCTGGAGGCGGTAGATCTCTTCGTTATACACCTTCAGCAGGTTCTCCAGGTACGCTATCTGAGAGAGATTGAGAACAGACATGAAGGTCAGGCGTGTTTTCCTACACAGACAAAATTTTGCGTATAGTTGTGTTTATTTTCTAAAGCGTGTGCGTGAGGCGACCACTTCACCTCACTCTAACAGGGACACTTGTGGCTCTGGACTAACCTGTTTTAATATGCTAGATAAAAGGTAATGCCCTGGCAGTGTTAAATATCTTTTGGTTTTATATTTGATTTGATCACATTAATGTTTAAGCTGAGATTTACAAGAAATTTATTTCTACTGTGTAGAGGGAATACTGCTGGTAAAAAGCACATTATTGTGCTTATTATTATTGTATATAGCAGTACATTTAAATCAAAAGTGCGCAATACACTACTTTAGAATTCATTATTTAATTTTGCGCATAACCATGCGATTAATTACAATTAATCACAGAAAATCATGCGATTAATCACAATTAAAAATTTTAATGTTACCCAACACTAAAACAAACATAACAAGCCTGTTTACTGCACAGTGAACAGAATAAAATGAGAGCATTCTTACAAACTATTACACATCAGAATGTGACCTTTCCTTTATTTCTACCCATTTATAACTTCAGTCAACAACGCAGGTTTATTGATGCATAGAAACCATTGTTTGCTCTTTTTTCTGCTTTTACACTTTTATTCTCTTTGTTTCCAAAGTGATCATATTTTCTAATCTACTTTTTGCAAAGTGACATACAAATAAAATTTTTAGTGACCATCACGTGCAGCTGAACTATTTAAAGGTTGTTATCAGCCAAAAAGAATACAAGTCACGCCTAGTGACTAGATTTCTACACTCACCTGCTTCCTGGAGGCCCTCTTTGCCTTTTTCTCAGTATCGTGTTCCTCTTTTTTAATTTCCTCCTGCAGCCCTGACGTAGAAGGTTCCTTATCCTCTGCTGCCACCCCTTTGTCTTCCTCATCAGCTTTATGTTTAGTTTTGTCTTTACTTTTGAGCGTAACAGAGGTAGACTGTAGAGACGTTGATGTTGAGGTACAAGGCCCAGACTCAACCTTGTTGAGGATCTGCCGCTTCTTGGCTGCATGCTGCCTGAGTACAGTGCACAGTTCATTGATGTAGACAAAGGTTTTGGTGCGGTTGGACTGAGCGCGAGTCAAACATCGTCCCAAGGTGTTCCTGAACTCCACCGATGACAGAAAGTCAGGAGAGGCTTTGGAGTGCTTGACTCGGAGGAAGGTTATGACCTCCGGGCAGTCCTCGGTGTGAGCTGAGCAGTACTCCACAAACTGGGAGGACAAAGAAAACAGGAAGAACAAATAACAAGAATATAATTATACTGTAGATCAAAAGCACATTGTGATTCATGTTTTTCCAGTTCAAATCCAGTTTGAATGTATTGTCAATATTATTACAACTCTGTGGTATTACAACTTCTGTCAATAGTTGCACATCTACCGTCGGTCAGTCAGGTGCTGGATACAAAGCAATTAAAAGTGAAAGGCTTAAGGACTTCTTGTCATTTAATACTACCAAAGTTATCAGGGTGAAAAATGAACACAGTTATCAGTCAAATGCTAATATACTTGGACTGGACGGGTCTGGACAAGTTTCATTACCGTTATTTAAGCAATAACCATTCATAATGTTGTTATATTATTTAATCTAAATGGTTTGTGGGTTAAAAATGACTTTGGATAAAACAATAAGTTTGATCCCCTTTCTCACCTCAGTGAACAACTTTTCATTCTCTGCCTGCAGAACATGTGTGTCCTTCTTTGCTGAGGCAAAAGGTGACTCGATAATGTGGGTAGGGGCAGGCTGCAAGGCTTTTTTAGCTCGATGCCGAGAGGACGAGGTGGAGGCCGAGCAGGAGGGTTGTGGACTCTCCTCTTCATCGTCATCATCAAGTATTATGATCTTATCTGCCATCGAGGCAGGAGCCACCGCCATCCAAAATGTTGGTTATTTCTGCTTTCACAAAAAACAGGGAGAATGTTGATCAGGGCAAGACGTAAAAGAAGCAGTAGGACAATGAATACTTGAGATTAGTCAGTATGAAATTTGCAGTGTTCTGGTGGAACATGAGTGGTGTGGTGGGTGTAATAACAGTACCGATGACACAAGATCCAAGTGATAGACGGTGCATTTTGTTTGAAAATCCCCCAAAACATTTTGCCCCCAAAGGTCATTGCTCAACACTTGGTGATACATGTTTGAGAAATTATCAGTGAAAAAGTGAAGTGTGATAGTGCTGAGTGTATACCAAAACAACAAACGTTAGTCATAAATGTTACACTTACAGTCATGCCAAATATTTGGGCACCCCTGCATGTCTGTCACTAATGCAAAAAAAAAAAAAAATACACAATTATAAATGCTTTGGTATTTTCATTTTCAGGTGAGACTACAACTGAGCTTTTTGGTATGGAGGGCTCCATGTAGGCCCAAAAATGACGTCAAAACCCTGTGACATCCCGTCACTCATGAGAGATGTAACTGTATTGTTTACATTATAAACTCTGTGAATAAAAAACAAAACTAAACGGCCATATAGTGACGACGTGTTGGTTTTTATCAGGTGTAGTTGGGCTGACTAAACAGTAACGATCCATGTCAGACAAACACTCTGAGCCATGAGACTTTTTGTTGGTGCAGCTATGCAGCTACCAGAATTACGGTGTTTCTGCTGTTGCTATACGTCATTAAACCATGGTTATACTGGGCGATCATGCGCAGCAGATGCTGGTGCCAACAGGAAGTAGCCCTGTAGTAGTACAGGGTACAAAACTGGCTTCACTGCTCTCCATTCAAATCTGCGGGGTGGCTTCGTCCAGTAATATACTGCCTATGGTCTTACAGGAGGACAATGACCAAAAGCATAATTAAATGCATCCAAAAATGGTTTAAAGGAGACCTATTATGCTTTTCCACAATTTATGACTTATTATAATGTTGGATGTTCATGTTAAACATGGCCAAAGCTTCTAAAAATGAGGTTAAAGTATTTAAAAGAAATTCCTGTGAGCAAGAACCTCAGATTTCCTCCTGTTCTGAATGCACTGTTTTGAACAGCTTTTTCTACCAACGGCTCCGTTCTAACTAATATGGAGCCGGTGTTCCATATATGCTCATGTGCTCCCACACTAATGGCAGGCAACGCTCAGTCATTAAAAAACATTTTTCTTTTACTTTGAATCATGCAAAGCTGCTATACAGGCGTCAAAGAACTACAATACAGGACTGGAAAAGCAGTATAATAGGTCTCCTTTAAAGCAAAATCCTGGTGAGTTTTGAAGTAGCCAGCAATAAGTCCAGATCTAAATTCCATAGAGAACCGGTGGAGAGATCTCTAAACAGCAGTTGGGAGAAGGAACCCACCACATCTCAAAGACCTGGAGTTAAAAGCACAAAGTCCAGCCTAAAGGGAGTTTCTATCTCCCACGAAAAAACTCTGCTCTCAACTGCTTGAAAACAGCTTGTTTGTAGTCCAGCCCTTCCCTTTCATCCCTTTGACGTCATAGGGATGAAATCTAAATGGCCTCACATAATGCTCGCCAAGCGGCTACTCCCTCACGCCCTCAAAAACACCAGTGGAAAAACACTGAGATGCAGCACACTCCTCCTCTCCCTTCCAAACACTAGCTACCAGGCAGTAAATGGACATAAAGTTGTTACTGTGATGTAGAGACAGAGCTCAGTTAAATCTTTATGGATGAAAGATACTTTTGTTACAGATTAATAACTCACCACTCTGAAACTCTTGCTCCAGTCTATGTTGCCAAGCTGGTCTGCAACATGTACAGCTGAAAGAAAGCCTTGTGTACGGTCTTTTTGCTGGCCAGCCCTTCTATGCTTCTGATTGGCTACTTGTCCTTAACTAGGAACTGCACATGTGCAACTCCCAAGAAACATTATTTACAGACAAGATGTATCACTCTGAAGCAAAGCGTTCAATACAAGGTGAAAAGAGGCGCTGCAGCAATGTGCAGTATGACTAAAAATATGTTGTTTTTTGAAAATTAAACCATGTAAACCTGTTCTAGTACAACCCCTAAATAGGATTTTGAACCTGGATATGAGCATAATACTACCTCTTTAAGTTGAGGGTGCCAATAATTTTGTCCATTTTTGGAGTTTTGTGTGAAATGTCTCAGATTTGGCTTTTTTTTTAAAATCTCTGCTTTGTTTATGTTATTCCAATGCAAACAAAAGAAATAAACATGAGAATACCAAAGCATTTGTAATTGCAACAATTTTCTGGGAGAAGTAGTGCATTGTGTGACAGACATGCAGGGGTGCCCGCCCATATTTTTGGCCATGACTGTATTTGATTCATTAATTGACAGAAAATTAATCTGCAGCAATTTTCACAGATGATTAATCATTTACATACTTTTTCAAGCAAAAATGTCCAACTTTCTGTGATTTACACTTCTCAAGAGAAGTGTGGCTATTCTATTCTATCTTATGATTTTTCTTTTCGACTGTTAGACCAAACAAGCAATTTGAAGACATTAAGAATGGGCTCTGGCAACGTAATGGGGATTGTTTTACACTATGTATAGACCAAATGTTTGATCAGTTTGTCGAGAAAGTAGTTATCAGTTGTGAAAATAACTGTTAGTCCCATTACCTACACAAAATTACACCCCAACATTAACACACAAAACACGGACAGGTGCATGGATTTTCATTCCATGATGCTCTAATATGTTGTCTCTGGTTTAAGAAATTAAACAGCAACGACGACTTGAACAGTTTTAGTCTCTTAAACAGAGAAGTGATCGAAGCTTTAAGACACACAGTCACGTTAACTTACAGATGGCAAAATTAATCGTTAAGAAAGAAAGGTTACACAGAGTGTGACATACAGACCTTTTGTTTATGAGTTGTTTGTGGTGACAGCAAAACAGGATCCACCATAACGTATCATAACAATTCTGTTCGAGTTAGCTAGCATTAGCTTTAGCTAGCTAGTTAGCAGTGTGAACCAACTAAGTGAGCGAAGTAAGAAAATAACGAACCGGCGGAAAAACCCGCATCCTGTTTCATTACATACGCTGTAAGATAAACAAATTCGCGATGCTTTTTAAAACCTTTATTTTTAATCACAAGGACTTTCTGTTTACCAAAACAATGCTCTTCAACTGCTATGCTGTCCACCCGAGATCGAAAGTGTACCCGCTAAAGCCGTATCAGCATCAATGCCTCTGATTGGTTGACAGATGGTTCGCCGTCAGTAATGTCGTTAACCATTGGGTAACTTCTTTAGGCGAATTCTTAAAATAACATTCAACATTCAGGGATTCAGTGGAAACCAAAACTAAAACTTAGTGAATTATTGTTTTGTATTTAACTTAGTCTGTCGATTCAGAACCTTCAAACGTATTTTTTAGTTTCGTGGTTTAAATACCACTCCAAAACTGTACGCTTACATGTCGAGTTTTATTTTGAAAAGCTTAGCGGAAGTTACACTTTCTCATTAATTTCAGCGAACGGAGTTTGTCCTTTTTTGACTTTTGATACGAACTAGATCCTTTTCGTCTTATGTGTAAAGCCAAAGCTATGTTGTTTGTAAATGCAATATTCTTCAAAAATAAATAAATAAATACAATTCGAGAACGGGTGCGTTGCGTTCAAGACTGCTCGTAATCGAAGGAAATTCTGATAAAGAGTTTACTGATAGGTCTATATCATCCTTGCAATTAATTTCTTCACAAGTTTAGACATAATCTCTTCCCTTTATGTTCTTTTTGTAAATCAGAGATTGAGTCGTTTTTACTTTTTCATGTGACATATGGTCACAAATCTCTTTATAAATGTGGGAATCTCATCATGTCTTGGTCCCTTTATCTAAAAAGTATGGTCTTATTTTTGAATGCGGAATCTATGAACTGTAAAAATTGTTTAAGTGATATGTCTTCTGGGGAAACATCATATTCATGAACCAAAATTCATGCAGTTTATTCTAAATAGACATTTATTACTTAGTGTTAATTAAAAGGCTGGCCGTTTTAATGGAAACAAGTAAAATATTGTTAACTCTGTAACCGTCTAGCTATCAGTTGGTAATCCTACATGTTGTAGGCTTTATTTCATGCATTAATGTAATGTTGTCCCATAATGGTAAAGAATGAAAAAAGAGAGTTATTGTTTAAGATTTGAATAGAATATTTTATAATTCACCAAGAAGGCCCAGCAGAGGATGTACCTCCTGCGGCAGCTTAAGAAGTTCAGTCTGCCAAAGACGATGATGGTGCACTTCTACACCGCCATTATTGAGTCCATCCTCACCTCCTCCATCACCATCTGGTACGCTGCTGCCACTGCCAGGGACAAGGGCCAGCTGCAGTGTATCATTCGCTCTGCAGAGAAGGTGATTGGCTGCAATCTTCCATCACTTCAGGACCTGTACGCCTCCAGGACTCTGAGCCAGGCAGGAAAGATTGCAGCTGACCCCTCCCACCCCGGTCACAAACGGTTTCAGACTCTCCCCTTTGGCAGGAGGCTGCGGTCCATTAGGACCAAAACCTCTCGCCACAAAAACATCTTCTTCCCGTCTGCAGCTAGCCTCATCAACAAGGCCCGGGACCCCACTGACACTCCCCCCTTTGCAAATAATACAAATGTCTTTGCGAATGTAAATATTATTTCATTTCATATCATGCAAAAACTTGGCACATTGCACATATAGTTGGTAACTGTTAATCTTTGTTGTTGTATATTTTGTATATATTGTATATATATTTTGTATTTTGTATTTGTCAATTTATATATTTATGTACACAATATTCTCTTCTGCTGCACAACACAATCCCGGAATAATGTACATGTATAAATATCTGCAATGTTGTTCTTTCTCGGCAAATAGCTGTATTCTTTTTCTCTATTATTTTTATTATTCTTATATAACTTGCATTGTCTATTCCATATTTATATATTTCTACATTTATTTATGTCAACTGTATGTTTGTCTACGTGTAGCACCTTATCACCAAAGTAAATTCCTCGTATGTTTAAAACATTACTTGTTGTGAGTCTGCAGCTCTACCCCCTGACCCCTTGTGTCCATGTTCTCTCCCCTCCCTGTGTCTCCTGTTAGTCTGTCTCTGTGTTGTCTGGGCGTGGCTTCTCACTCTGGGCCTGGCACTCCACCTGCACACCTGATCCACATTCCACTAATCAAGACTCTGCAGTATATCAACCCGGCCAACTAGCCTCGTAGTTGATATTCTGTTATTTGTTTCTCTCAAGATCACTAACCTTGTCTCCCTGTGCTCAGGATCACTGCCATACCCTGCTCACTGCCTGCCTGCCTGCCTGGAAATCCTGCCATTGCCTCACTCAGCCCACCGCCTACCTGGAAATCCTGCCACTGCCTCACTCAACTCACCGCCTGCCCGGAGGTTCACTGGTCTCCTTTCCCTGGTCTGCCCTCTGCTCTGCTCACACCCCGCTGTTCAATAAACTCTGAATTCCTGGATTGAAACCTGCCCTGAGTCTGCTCTTGAGTCCATTCCCCTAGTCTGCCATAACATTACTTGGCAATAAAGCTCCTTCTGATTCTGATTCTGATCCTAAAACTAGTAGGAACATATTAAATGGCTTTACCAGTTTAAAATCCGTCATTTTAAATTGGAATTTATAAAAAATAAACTCTTTACAAAGGTTTGTTTGTCTGAATGTGATCCTCAGGCAACATTGTTCCATTATGGAACAGCCTATGAATCTGTAAAAGAGAGTACGCCTACTCATTTTTTCAACAAGTTTACATTAAAAATCTTTAAATCCAAGCCATGTTGGCGGGGCTTTGTTCTTTTATTTGAAAGCTGGGGTGCATCCCAAGACTCTTAATTGCACCCAGAGACTTTTGATGGAGTTTGTCTGCACACAGGTTCACTGTGCGAATAATACTAATCTCAGAGTTGTCACTGCCAGAACGGTATATTTTCTCTCTGTAGCTGCTACCTGTTTAACAAACTCCTGCACATGAATAAAAGCCTGCATTCTGTAATTTGCTCAGAGCCACAGGAATCATTTCTACTGGCACAATACGTTTATATTGTTTATTCATCTGCATCCGTATTTATTTATATTCTGATTATTCTTGAATAACCCAGAAAGTGATCATCGTGCATTTTGAACATATTTATGATTTAATATGCTAACCTAAATGTTTCAGGGAAATTGCAATAATGTAACTCATATCAAAGCAGACGCTCAGCAATTATTGTCACCAATGTTAACACATTTTAAATCAAGGCCAATTAGTTGCACAGCTGCATCATCTGCCCATTGTGTGTCCACTGTATTTTATGACCTCTGTCAGATGAGCATAACAGCGTTCATGTCATATTTTTATGCTATTGTCACAAGATAATATAATGTCACAAGAACGCATATGTATACATAGGCTACATCCACAAATCTCAGCAGGTAGACAATCAGTTTTGCTGAACAACACACCCACCTCTTATGTTTGTTTTTAGACACTTGAGGGTCAAACACAGTTACCAGCGCATATTTTGGGCTGTTTGGACTCGACATTGGGCATTTCATACAGTGCACAGCATAAACAAGTACACCCTAAAACAAATTCTTCTAAATCTCATATTTTGTACGGCCTCGTTCATTTTTAAGAAGCACCAGGTCTTCTAGACATTGAATGAACAAGTTCACAACATACAGCAACATCTATCTTTCTCCACTCTTGAAGAATTAATCTTTTCAGATCCTGGATGCTGGAGGAGAGTGATGTTCAGCTTGTCATTTCAGAACCCCCCAAGTGTTCCCTTGGGTTGAGGGCACGTTCACCTTTTGCTTCCTCATAAATGAACCAGTGGGCTTAGTTGTGTGTTTTGGGTCATTACCTTGTTGTTCTCTTCCCTACTTCTCTATTTCACAGCACATTTGTTAATTCATGATGCCATCTATGCAATGCAACTCCCAAACCACCTGCAGCACATGTTGTGTAAAAAATTCAAGACTTAGCCGGATGAGAAAGCTTGAACTTTTGCCAACATTTTTCATTTTCAGCAAAAACAGACACCAATTAGAGTACAAAAGTTTCAGAGAGGGTCAGAGATCGATGCCAAATATACTCCCATTCTGTTGCCAGAAGAGAGACCTGAGTTGACATGACGGCGTGTAACAACTGATTTTCAACTTCTTTTGGACCTCCTTTTTATAACTGTGTTTGCATGATGCCATCTTTTGGCTCTCTTTCCTGACCGCACCTGGTTCTGTGGAAATTCCCAGATTGATAGAAGTGGCTGCAATGGATTCACCATGCGGCTGGTCAGCAGAGCAGAGATATCTGCCTGACCGAACACGGCTCTGCCTCTCTGTGGCCTTGGCATGCTTATTGCTAAACGTGACATCTCAACTACACCTAGCTATGTGGAAAGTCCCGGAGTCTTCTGTGCTGCGTCCTTACTGTGCTCCCTCACTCTACTGTGTGTCCTCCCCTACCTCTACCAGAGCCACAAAGTCTTAACTTTAGCTATAATTAGAGACACCTAATGTGCAAGCATCCATAAATTAACACTTTTAAAGCTTTGCAAATCAAAGGGACAGATTTCAAGATCAAAACGTTTTCTGATTACATAAATAGGGTAAATCAACCACTTATTGCTGAAATCCTATCATTCTTTGCAATGCATTGCTTACAACTGAATGCCTCCCAGGGATTTGCCAAACTGGTTTGTTTATAACTTCTTGTGTACTCACACACATGCCTGGTGATAATTGCCCTACACCTGGATTCTTTTCTATTCACATTTAAAAAGTGTTCACAAAGAGGAGAAATCATTGTTACTCCTTGGAGCAAAGACTCATCATGCAGAGAGAATCAGTTTTAAACCTTATTAGAACTCATGTATACAGTAGATAGTGTTTCTTAACACATATAAAAAGAGTGACCAGTAGAGGGGTTTAAACTGCATTATTTAGTAACTTCATCCTGTAGCTTAAACATTAAGATAGTAAACATTGCACAACATACACATGTAGCCCCACACAAGAACGCCACCACCATGCTTTACTATCGGTACCGTGCCATTGTACACCTCACCCTTGACACCATACAGTTTGGATCCCATCAAAGCCAAAAAGATAAATCATTGTATCATCACTCTAATGTACACAGTCCCACTGGCCTTCACCTTTGTCAACATGGGCCCTGGCAAATTCTAGACAGGCTTTTTTGTGCACAGGCTCAGCATTGGCTTCGTGGACAACAGCCATGCATGCCACTCCTCTGCAGTGAGCGTCGTATGGTGTTATGAGAAACACTTACCGCTGTTTGACGATTTAGCCAACTGTGCATGAACTTGCATGCTGATTTTCTTCAACTTCTCTAATCACAAAACACTCTTGACAGGGTGGGAACTTCTGTGGATGGCCCGGACGTCTCAGTGAGCTTCCATCCTTTTTGAAAAACCTATTAACAATGCTTTATTAATTTTATTATAACCTTTGTGCAAAGAAATTATTTTCTTCTCAGGTCTTGCGAAATTTCATTCTTCATGTGGTTCCATTTCATCAGCATTGAATGGGAGTAGATTTTCTCTCTGAAATACCGCTCTTAATTGTCAATTATCACCTGTGTGATGATTGATTAGACTCAACTGTTAATTGTAATTGTAAAAGGGTTTTCTCCTAAGACATTCATTGGGGTCTACTCAATTTTGCACCATTATCATAAATCTTTTTGTTAGAATAGTTAAAATTTTGCCTTTGGCAGTGACTAATTTAATTTGAAAACCAACAAACCAAATTTGCATGGATATCATATTGTATAGGATCCTATTGAAAATATTAATTTTAAAGTGAGATGGATGTTTTTCTAAGATATCTGTCAAGGTGTACTCTATGCTATGCACTGTATACGATGAATCTTGGCAGGTAGAAAACCAGTTTTGCTGAAAAATGCATCCACCTCTGTTTGTTTTCAGAAACTTGAGGGTCAAACACAGTTACCAGCTCATATTTTGGGACTTTTTGACACAAAGAATTTCATACACTCACAGACCTATATGCTGAGAAAATAGGTGGATGAAAATTTCGGCAGGCAGCCAAGAACATCTGTTCTGTCGAATAATGCATCCAACTCTTAAGTTCCTTGTCAGAGACTTTGCTGTGCACATTGATCAAATGCGCTTATCACTACATATTTTTGGCTTATTTGGCTCGACTGAGTAAATTTCATAGGCGACATTTAATATACCAGGAGAAATACCAGGGGATGCAGCTGCAATCACTTTCACCGAATAATGTATTTAGCTTAGTTACCCCCTAACACTCGGTACAGGACACTTTAAATCAAACTGTGATAGGAATCTGATGGTGTTTAATAGAAATGAAGAGTTAATTTGACAGCTCACTAAATTAGAGATATTGTGTATTCCCTATAAATGGCCATGTTGCACGGTGGCTACTTCCAACCCAAAAAGGACTTGAGACTTGTTTTGTAGCATATAATCACTTGTGAAGATATATATATTGAACACAATATTACTGTAAAACACAAAGTTACGTATACCTTGAATAGTTCATAGACCAAGTAGCCTATTTTTATAGGTTTTTACTTGAATAGGTTTGTGAGATGGAGATTTTTTCATGGGAGTAATTGTACTTTTGCTTGAGTAAAGATTTTCAGTAATCTACCCACTTCTGCTTGTTTGTGTTGCAAGGATAATATCAGTGTATAATTCAATTCTGTACATATGTAACTTTATTTGTCAGTAAAAATTCAGAAAATAAAGACTGGCTTCAGGAAATGTATTCAAATTGAGGCTGAGAAAGAAAAAAATCAGGGTCTCCACCACAAACAGAGAAGTAGCCTACAGGTCAGCTCTACGTGAGGCAGCAACATAAAGGACTGGGAAAGAATCAGGACCTTGGAGATGGCTAATATTAGTTAACTGCAGTTGAGACTGTCAATGGCGCTGCCAAGGGAGGGCCGGGGGGGCCACAGCCACCCTAAGAAAATGGGTGGCCACCCCAGTGCCCCCCCCCCGGCAAGGAGCATATGCATAAACTGCTTTTTTATATTATGTAACCCCCTGGTTTGAGTTAAAAGGTGAATAGCAGCATACAAGTGCCTCCGATTCGTCCATGTAGATGCCTGTCGTGTTTCTAAAATTGTGACTAACAGGCAGTGCGGAGCGGAGGACACCGGTGTTGTGCCGAATGTGTGTGTTACCTTTGGAGGCAGCAACAAGCTGCAGAAGAAAAAAAAGTCTAATTTAATTAATGTACAGAGACAGTTAGTAGCCTGGCTAGTATTGTACTGTGTGTGAGAGTTATTAGTCTGCAGATAGCAACAGGTTGGCACCATCGCTAACAGCAAGCTAACAGGCGCTCCAGTGAGCAGCACAACAAACACTGCGGGGCCACGACGAGTCGGCGGGCTGTCTGAAAAACTTCAGTCACCCAGAAGTTTGCCCAGAGGAGAAACCGCCGGCTACGGATTAACGTTGTTGTCATAATGTTGTTGTCATATAGCCACTTTCATACTGCCTTATTATTTGGGATTATTAGGCCAGTTTGCTGCTCGCTGCGCTTTATGAAAGGTACGGAGCAGGGAATGGGACATATGTTGGCCGACAGTCTTTCCATTACGATTGCAGGATCTCTGGATCTCTGGATCCCTAAAACCTTGTCTGTGTGCGTGATTGTTGACCTCAGTGGTGTTGAGCTCACTGCTCTTTGCTTATGGCCCGGTAGACTCATTTGTTCTGGGCTTGGTTGTGTCTGCTTAAATATTGTATTCTTAATTTAGGTTTGTGACAGTGGTACTGTAACTTGTGTCAATGCTCTCCCTCTCTCTCTCATATTAGGTGTTTTGTGGAGCCATGCTGTTTGTTGACATGTTAAAAAACACAGAAGCAAGAAAGAGTATTGTAGTTTTACTGGTATTTATGTTTTGAAATGGTTGGTGCCCCCCCCCCCCCCCCCCACCATTTTTACATATAAATATGACACTGGTCAAATCAGTTGTTAAAAAGTGGGATATTTCAAGAATAACTATCTTAGTTGTTTGTAACACCAAAGAATAACACCAAACTCAGTATGTTAACAAATAATTACATAACTCTATACAGACACACATCGTATATATTTCAATTTGAATTTAAAGAAAAATATTTATTTCTCCATGCTGTCTGTAATCTTTGAGTAGGCTTGTTCCCAGTAAATGTTTTGTTCCTCCCCATCAATACACTCCTACAAATAAAAGCTGTATTTGTCTTTTTAAGGAAAAGGTTAACTTGCCTATTTAAAGAACAATTAATTGCCTAACGCATACAGATAACACATCAAACAGGATTTTTATGGAATGTTAACTGAACTGGTTTTAGTCTACGGACAATAGACAATTTTAACTGTAAAATAAGAAACCAAAGTATATAAAGTCTGTGATTCCTTAACTCATATTTTTATGTAGTATTCAACTAGTCCATTCTGCATAATAGAATTCCTGAAATTCATTTATGGCTTTTGGTTTAGTGTACCACCCCAGGATTTTCAGTGGCCCACTGTCAAGATACTCCATATTCTTGAGAATTCAATGCTGCGATGGTGCAAATATAACTGGCAGGTCAACCCACTTTATCTCATCTACCTTACACCAGAACTGATGTGTTATGAACACATCATAAGTGCGGAAATGAGCCCGAGCACAGGGAAACACACCATCAGTCAGAAGTCCAAAACACACACACACACGCACACGCACACACACACACACACGCACACACACACATACACACACACACAGGCTGGGACACGAGGATGGCAAAACGGCAGGAAAACACAGGGAATGAGGGGGAGGCAGGACACCGGACAATGACGAGATGATAAAATAACTTTGGGATTTGTAGCTGCTTGACCAGATACATGAACATCAGACTGGAGAAATCGTGCATGTATAATGGTGCCCTGAGGTTAAACTGCAGAGCGGCTGCTCGTGGCTCCAAGCGATTTATACCGAAGATTCACGAACACCGCCGACCTCAAATGGTCCACAAACCCGAGATCAACCGAAAGTCTCCAGTTGCTCCCGATCCGGCCCCATTGAAGTCTGTTGTTGTCGGTCTGGGGGCGATGGGGTGGACGAGATTCAAGAAATAAAGGAAAAAAAAGTCGATTTCCAGGAAGCATCCCTCCTGAGCCCCTCCCAATCCAGTGATTTTCGGATTCGAGGCTTGACAAAGGTAATTACCATCATCCAATTATGACTGTATATTACAGAAATTGCTCTTTTTCCCCTCAATATTTCGTTCAAGCAGGGAGGTAGTGGGTTAAATTCTGCAGTTTTTCCTTCGCTGTTTTGACTATTTGCTTGTGTTGAGCGGTCCCACACGGCAGAAACGGCTGATTTAGGGCGTGTAACCAACAGCAAGGCAGCGAAGGAATGCAGGATGGCTGCAACCTCAGGCACCTCCACTCAAGAATAAAACAATTAACGGTTTCCAGACATATCAGAAGAGGTTAACCTTCTGAAATGCATGAAAAAAACTATAAAATCCACATTATCCAGACAGGAAGTCAAGCATTGCTCAGACAAGACATTACTGAATAAGGTATTCGTGCACAGAATGGCCTCCTTCCTTATTCAAATATTTGGGTTAATTATATGAATTCACTAATCTTTCTGCTGATGTCTTGGACACTTCTAAAATTAACACCGTATTTGCACGCTGTTGCTAATAATCGGACCACATTTAATGTTGCCAAGACTGTGGTGCATTATCATGTCTTGTTTTCGGGATATCCCCCTCTGAATCAGGTATTTTCTGGTCCATCCCAGTGGAAATGGTTACGCAATGTACATGCACCCATTAGAGCCGCTGACTAAGTATTTGTCACATAGAAGAGCCATTAACAGAGTGTTGAGGAATGAGGACAGTACCTGATTTCCTATGAATGGAGCAAACCAAGACATCTTAGAAGGAAACAAGTAAGCGATTTGATTCATAACAAATCTCCTCTAACAACATGTTCACAGATTTTTTGCTTGATCTTAACCAAAACTATGTATTATTACGTATTATTAGCTCACCAATGCTAAGGGAGATGCACAAACCATCACCCAAACTATGTCTTTGAGGGAAAGAAACTGCAGAGATAAAGAGAGAATGCATGCTGGGATCCTGGGACATAAAAGATGAATATATTATGCACTGATTCTGGCATTAGAGTGTCTGGCAGTGGTGGTACAACCCCAAACTCTGTCCAGTCTTCAGTCATTCATTCTTCCCGTCTCATTTACTCCATCTTCCACCCGGACATCCCCATAACGGGACAGCCCCATTCATGCCGGTCGTGACACACCCTTGGCTGCACCAGCAGATGCTCCTGGCTGAATGGGCTGCGTAAAGTGTGAGGAGGGGGAACGAGGGGGATTGGAGGTGGAGGTGCAGAAGAGGAAAGTGCAGAGAAGCAGATGGCCAAGAGAGGGGAACCATTTTTAAGTGCCATTGAACTATTACATTTGACTCATGTTAAAAAACAGATAAATTGAAGAACCTCTGTATGGCATTGTGAACATCAGGACACAGCTCTTAAATTCAGGTTAATAAAATTAGTTAGTTAGTCAGTTAGCAGCAATGGTAGAGAGAGCTCTGTCTTAAAATACCAACAGGACATGGAGAAACCATCACAGCGATGTCAAGACGACTATAAAATATATTTATTATTAGGGTGATACTTGCCCAGTATACAGCAAACCAGTATATCAGTCTGAACATCATAGGAGTCAGTTACAAGGTGAATTAAGGAGAGGATAAAGAAGACAAAAAAGGGAAGAAAAGACTGAACTAGACAGAAATTTTTCAGAGGAGGAATATAAAAATAGAGACAGAGAGAAGCAGACAATACTGTATCAAGAGGAGGATGGAGGCATGATGCTACCGCCCTCCTGGCTTGTGTGGGAGAGCAGAGATGAGGGGGAAAGAGGCTCTTATGTCAGGATGGATGTCAGCTTGATGAGATCAGCCTGAAAGATGTAACCTCCACGCCTCTCACCTCGAGGAGGCTGCTGGATGTGTCACACTCACTTCACCGAATGCTGCGTCTCGTACAGTCCGATTGATCTAATTGGTCATAACAGGAGACAGGAGAGCAGTGACCCCATTTAGAGTCAGACAGAATTTATATCACACCCTCAGCCAAAGGACAATGGTTGTATCTGTATCTCAGGGTTCTTAGCTGAATCTTTTATCCAGGACAGTCAGTGGTGAAAGAGTATTTTTTCCAGAATTTCCACCTTTAATTACAGCACCCCCCCCCCTCCCCACCCAAGGCAGCCTATTTAACGTTGTGTAGAAACACTGGCTAAGGCTTCATCTTCCCTCCAGTTTTTATCAGATTGTACTTGCTGAGAATGTGTTAAAGTTTAGTTTTTTATCCATCAGGCACCCAATTAGGACAGCAGAACTTTTCTTTGTGGGTTGTAAGGGGGGAAAACTTGGCCTTGTGTAGTCTCTCTACACAGCTTTATGGTGCATTCGTTAGATGCACAATCACTACTCTGTCTGCACTTTACTGAATACATTTTTGTGTGCAACTTGCCAATGACTTGCAGTATAAACTTAATACAATCAGCAGCACATCTCTCATTTTCTTTTCAGATGTATAGTTATCTCCATCATTGTATTAAATGTGTGAATTATGTCTTTGTTAATGGCTCTGTAGAATATCAAAGGAAGACGATTCAAACCTGCTTCACTGGGGACCGATTAGAAAATATGCTGTTATTACTGTGTTTCGCTGAAAGACAAGGACCCTCTTGAGAACATTTTCGGACCACTTTATAGGGTGTTATTTGGAAGTGACTTTGTGTCTGTTTGTGTGCAGATGGAAAGTGGATGGGCTTTTTCTTTTGTTTTTTTCTTTAAATGGCACTCTAAACTCTCCTCTGAAGAAGCTGGCAGAAATACAATGGCTTTAAATTGTTCTCTCTTTCAGAGTCTATAGATGCACTCTATTCCATAATGCTGCAGTGCATACAAACAGCACTCAACTTCACTGATTTTGCAGAACTCTGAAAGCCGCTTTATATTTTTAGAATTTTTGCAAGCTAAAATTCATAGCATGTATTAAGCTGGAGAAGTAATCTCATTTTAGTGAAAACATATATCATACAGGCATTTGGTATCTTTTTTTGGGTCTATATAAACGATTCAGTAAGGCCACATTAAAAGACTCACTCAGTCACTCTTTCAGCCCATGGCTGTTGGTGCATTTCCCCCCTAATTCACTTCAACAGGCTTTTTGAAGTCAGTAGTTTCAGTCATCTTGTTGTTGAGACTGAGGTCAGAAACAACTGGATTGCTAGTTGTTGTCCAATTGAAAGTGTAGCAGACGATGGAGTTGTAGTGTAGATGAATGAAGCAATGCATGCTATTATTTTCATAATCATATTTTTCAGTCAGTCTCTCATAATATAATACTCACACGCCCTCATACACATTGAAATTCTTGCGGAAAATAGTCATTTTGTTGTGGCGGTGCTGTTGTTGTTTTGGGAAATTTGACATCCATACTTTATGTAATTTCAACTCTTCAGAATTAATAGAGTTCTACTTGACCAGACTTGGCAAGGATCAGAGTGCTTTGAGAAGAGTTGTTAGTAATTTTGTTTTCCATTCAAATCTCCTTCTCTTTTCAGCCATTACTCTCTATCTCTCCCATTATCTATTCATCTAATTATCCCACTTTAACTCGGTGCTACTACTGCTTAGTCTAATCCAATGCAGTAGTCGTGAAAGGTCAAAGAGTCTCCTCATGCCAGCTGGCTCTCATCAACCTAATAGGATGACCACGTACTCTTGCGTGTATATCTCTCCTGCCCTCTCGTACTCTCTGGCATACCCTCTCTTCCTTCACTGTTTCTCCTTTCTTCCTCTCTCTCTGGTTTGTCATCATGTGTCGTGAGTTGGGAGCTGATTGACTCAGCAAGAGAGCTGCACACAGTGACTCACAAACACACGTCTCTCTCTGCTTTGAAGACACATTATCTATAAAACTTAATAGTGTATTTTACTTTACAGCAACACTATAGATTTTCTTGTCAAGGAAGGTTGGCCCTGAGGCATTTGAATTGCTAATTTGTGAAATGCTATTTAGTGTAGCGGGCTGGTGCAGTGGGGAAGGGGGAGAGAACTTCTCTTCAACTTGAGCACACAGATTAAAGCTGGCAGAGATGCATAATTAAACCCTTACCCAAATTAGCAATACATCTTTAATGTAAGAAAGCTTCGACAGTGAATACAATTACGGAGCCAGGGGAGGAGTTAAAGTTGTAAACTTACATGGAAAAAAATCTAATATTCTCTGAGATTATAAAGCAATACATTTGCAAGAAAAAAATATAGATATTATGAGAATAAAGTCACAAATTTACAAGAAAAAACTCAAACAATTATATTTTTCAGATGTGCTTGTGTTATTAAAGGCTCTATGCGGTAAACAACATCTAAGCTACTTTCACCAACCATTATTATGAGAATCTGAAAGCTCCACCTCTTCTCTTATGTCTGCTCTGACTCTTGTCTTGCATTATTAATGACTTGTAAGTGTACCACTTTAATCTTGGAAATCTTTTAAATAACTACAATAACCCAAATATGTTATTGTAGAAATCAAGTCTCTTTTAAAGAAAAATATGCTTATGTCACATAAAATTATCCCATCTTGATATAGTTACGGTAGATGTCTCTTTTTAGAAAGTCATGAATTGATCCTTTGGAGCCATAATCATAAAATGAAAAGCTATACATAATTGTTGTGGGATTCTTTTTTCAGAGACAGACGATTCAAGATGAAAGTAATCAGCGCTGCTGTGATTAGCGCCCTGTTCTGCACTGGTAAGCACAAACATAATCAGTCACTTGGGAGCAGGTTTAGATAAATGAACAGCTGAAACAGACTTTCAGCAAAACTGAATTTATTTCAACTGAATGATTTGCATATATTCTATGAAAACCACACCCAGGAAGCTATTTTAAGTTGTTTTGTGATATATTTAATTTTCACTTATTGTTTTTCTTCCTTTTCTAATGAGAAAGTCAGATTGTGTTTACATCTGGTCTATTTTTAGCTGCCAGTATGTGAAGTATTTACATTTCAAATACTTTCATACTTTTTGGGGAAGTGGTTTTTCAATAAGAACAAAGGAACTCTGACTCATTTAGAGCTCTTTGTACAAATCAGCACACAACTAAAAAAAGATGTATTTTAAAATAAACTCCTCTCTATCTGTTCTTTCACAGTTGTGTCAGCAACTTTGAAAGGTAAACGTGCATGCTTATTTGTATTGTAATACATGACCAGGAATGCTTTTTGAGAGTGTACAAATTATACGTATGAGAAAAGATACAGTGATAGTATAATTGGTTTCATACCTGGGCAGATAAAGTAAATAAGAAATAGCATGTTAACTATAATATCTAATAAAACATCTTGATTGTTTCTACCAGTTAAAGAGGAACACAGGACAGCCTTCTTTGGGGAGGACATTCACATCGATGTCTCGCCTGGGAACGTTAGTGAGGTTGTGTTCAAACCCAGGTACAATCGCTCCGCTGAGGTAGTTCTACTGCAAGCAGGCCGGGTGATGACTCCACAGGGCCATATCAACTCTCTGGGCCACCTGGTGCTGGAGGACGTGCAGGAGGAGAACGAGGGGTTGTACATTATGAGGAACCCCACTACACCCAACTTAGCCAAGCACCTCATCCTCATTGTCAGGGGTAAGCGGTCTGCTGCACTCTTATCTGGAGGTGGGGAGAGCGTTAGGAAGGGTCCCCCTGACTGAAGTCTTTTCAGGGAGCGAACAGTAGAATCCTAAAGATTAGCACTATTTGTTATATCAGAAAAGACCATGTATAATCCACCAAATCATGTTGTATAAGTTCACAGGGTTTTATTTGTATAACATAAATTCTGGTTAGAGATTGGATGGATAAAAATAGAACATTCTGTTAAGGTCTAAAGATTTAGCATTAATGTTAAGGAATCACACAACCAACTATAAAACTATTTCACCATTGATAATCTGCTGAAACAGAATTGATTTGCGCACAGTAACTTTCACCACATCATGACAAAGCTCTGCCACCAAGATCCTGCTTTGACTTTTATTTCCTCTGGTCTTGTTGAGCAGACTGTGCTTTGGAGCAAGTGGTGAAATATGGAGAAACTTACTACATCCATCTCAACCAAGTCAAAGGACCCATCACCCTGGAGTTCAGGTACGGTGGGTGAAAGTGCGTCACAAGAAGGGAAAATAGGATTCATAAATGTGTATATATACGGAGTCTATTACAGATTGTTTAGTTGTTTTGGCCTAAATTTAAAAACCGCACCGGGACGGAAGCTGTAAAATTAGCTTCAGCTAGACACTGTGAAACAGTTTTTATCTGCAAGGTCCCTGTTAAAATAAAGAAAATAATTAGGACTATGACACATGCTGCTGCTAACTGTAACAAACCTCTGACCACACCCGAATCAGTGATGACACAACAGCGGCAATTAGAGGTTGTAATGGAAATTTTCCTTAAGTGAGTCTTCTGAAATAAAGAATTCAATCCAGATGTCATTTAAGGGTTTTATTCTTTGCAAAGGGTCAGACAAACATACAGAGTGCAACCAGTCTGCAGAGTGTAAGACCAAGAGCCAGTGAAGAAACAGGTGACTTTACACCTGTTGTTATGCAGCTGTCTTAGGGAGGAAGGGAGTAGGAACCAACTGCCCTGAGATGAAGGCCTAATAAGCACGGTCAGACAAGGAAACCCTCCAACGAGCTACATTCCTATTGGAACCTTCACCTAGCTGCAACATAATAAAATTATCAAACACCACACAGTGAAACATAGGTCTATAATAATGCAGCATACAAGGTAAAACAGTAAACATACACTATATAAAATATCAAATTTCCATCACAAGGTAAAACACCTGCTGCAACATTACTGATTGGGTTGAAGTAGATTTACATTGATTGCTCATGTGCTAGTTTAGGAAACATCTATTGTCTTCAATTTTATTTTTAAGGCCCAGTCTGGCTCATCCCAATCAGACTGAGATGCAGCATGCAACAGAGTCTCCATCTGTGATGCTGTATAATCAGACAGCGGTGTCAGCAGAAGAATATGTGGGGCGACTCAGTGTGTCGGAGAAACGGGTGATGCTGCACTCGGTGAGGATGACGGACGAGGGGAGCTTCACAGTGCTGGACCGTGACGGCAAAGTGAGGAGGAGGAACTGTCTGAATGTCAGAGGTGAAGAAACATCTGTGCTTTGCTGCATCCTCTCAGCTTTAATTGACTGATCTGTCAGCGTTATGTGCATGTGTCGTTATTCTGCACATGCTGGTGTTATATGTGTCCCATCTAAGTGGAGTGCTGATGTTGGCACAGTACTTGAATTGCTGAGAAATGTGATATGCCAAGTTCTGATATAAGCCTTCATACTCTTCACAAAGTGTTAGTTGTCCATACCTTTATCATAAAAGTGCCAATAGTGTTAGTGTTGTTTTTACGTTTCACATTTTGCAAGTTTTCATCTTGCCTTAGAGTCACTGTCAGCATAATCTCATTCTTGACTGTATTAATTAAAAAAAAATCCTCAAGCCATAATCTCAGAAAAGTTCATAAGGTTTTAATTAATGTATTTAAAATGAGGTTCAACCTCCCGTCTTATCCACTGCCCCATCACCACCCCCCTGCATCTATTAAAGATTAAAACTATATCAGGAACACATTTACTTTAATAAAGGTTAGGGAGCCAAATGTTACACCTAAGCTGAATGGACTGACAGACTGATTAACCAACATTCCTCTAAAAAGTGTATATGTGTATATCTCCTGTCTATCGATGTATCTGCAGGTGTGAAATGTGCATCGTGTCTCGTCCACATTAGTAGATATTCAGGTTGGCGGTGCAATTGTATGTGTGTGTTTAGCTGTTTATGCTGTTACCACTAACAAACCCTAGAAATGTGTCTACATTAGCAGATACACATTGCTGGGCTATTCATATACGCTGTACATCGGTTTACATTTCTGCCTTTGGTTCTCCACAGAGCACCAGAACTTCATGCACCTTTCGTATGGAGCAAACCTGAAGATGAAACTCTATGTGCACCATTCCAATGTTAACATTGTCTACAGGCGCAAATCAGACAATCAGGACCAGGTCATCCTGGATCAGGGGGTTCTGGTGACACCGCTGGACCCTCAGCTAGAGGGCAGGCTGAGTGTGCAGGGATCAGAGCTCATCATGAAGAAGGTCCATGTGGCTGACACGGGTGTCTTCAAAGTGACAGACCTGTCTGGGTATCCTGTGGCTCATGTCTACATAGAGGCAGACGGTAAGAGAAAGTATACTGTAGTACGTTTTTACAGTACATTGCTTTGTGATATTGCCCATTTTATGGAGCCATTTGGACTTTGCAACCAAACCTTTTGTGTCAAAGTCTAGTCCTAAGTGGAAATAATGAAACTGTGGCATAAAAGCAAAACACAATCAAGGATGTGATAACAGTGACACAGATAATGGAAACAAATGAGACTGCCACGCTTTAACTGATGACCTTTCATTTAGATATCCTAAGCTGCACAGGAGAAGAAATGTAATCTTTAACTAGATAAACTTAATTAAAACAAGATTCAGTTTTCACAAGACACTGAGATGAAAGATGAAAAGCTACACAGTAAAGTCAGTCTGACAGAATTCCTGCAGTCACAGAAGACTTATTATTTTTCTCTGTGGATGTTTTTGTTTTCTTCCCTCAGCCTATAAGCTGCCTCCCCTGACTGTAGCCATCCTCTCCCTGCTGTGTCTGATCGCTCTCATGCTGCTGGTGTGCTTGCTGTCCTGTCTCTATAAAATTCATAAGAGGAAGGAGAAAAACAAGAAGCTGATGCTCATTGCTCAGCAGGCTGGCAAAGGAGACGGCGAGGCTTTTAGACAGGTAACACCCACCTAGTGCATTACCGCCATTCTTCATTTCTCTGTGACGGAGGAATATTGTAGAGTCACTGCCATAGGAATAAGAAAGGGCTCTGGTGGAATGGAGAGGTGTAGAGTTAGGTGTGTGTGTTTGTGTGGCTGTGTTGGCTGGGAAAGGATTAAAAGGCTTAAGGAGGGTTCTGTTCCTGCTGTGAGTCAGCATGGTCAGCTGGTCAACATATGGTTACAGCCAAATTTACAGACATCAGCACGGCTGAGGAAAACTCACAGAAACATAGGATTTCTAGCTCTGTGAATGTCTTTTCTCTTCTCTCACACCTATATGTTGTACATTAACCTTCCAGAGACACAAGTGTATCTGTCATATCTGTCTTTTTAAAACTAGTCATAAGGTGTTAGTGTTAATGATCTAAATATTTTCTATATTCCTCCTGCTTAGGTCACTGTAAATCCCATTGAATAGGAACAGCAACTAAATGCCTTAAACAGCTTAATGTAAAAGTAAAAGAACAGAAGGAATTCACGTGTATGATATATGAAGTAAACCACTACAAATTAAATTAAAAGATTCACACTTCAATCTTGACCACACTTCTGCATTCATTTCTTAGTAATTGACTATATTTAAGAGACTTACGAGACAAACATACTCCAGTGGGGAAGCTTTGAGCCACAGGAAGCAGTTTCTACACATTTAAAATGTTTAAAATATCCTTTCCATTTTTAATGAAGTACAAGCACAACTTAGAGTCTCAAGCCTGGCAGCAAAGAGTGCTGTTGCACCAGATACTTTTTGTACCTGCACCTGAAATTGCACTGCATTTGCACAGGGAACTCATTATTATTTGGGAAAGAAAATGCTTTTTAGAAATTTTTATACTATATTTTAATACAAATGTTAGCTGAATGTTAGTAGAATATAGATCACCCTGTGTTGTCAGATAGAGACTCTGTTTAGCACTCACCGTGTAAACAAAATCATATTTTTAGTTTGCATTATTGCTCATGATTTATTGTAAACGGTTCATTCACTACAAAAAAGCCATTTGAGGCATCAACATTACTGTTTGTAATTCTTAAAACGTCAATTCTGTATAAAACTATTCAATTAAGAATTAATTGTGACGGCCTCAAAGCCTATGAGGACAAAAATAAAACAAATGAAAAACATTGATTGTTTTCAATTGGCAATTTAAAATCTTTGCTCTCCTTCAATTCACCTGCCCAATGCTGGCTAATTGGATGATTTAGGGGAGTTGTTAATTAACCTTCTATCACCACAACCCTCCACTCATCGTCCCCAGTTCGAGATTTGTTAAAGGAGCTTTATGAGACATTCCCTGCTGCTAAGTGTTGTACTAGAGCACCAGCGTCTCAGACCAAAACAGGCAGCCTACCAGACTCTATTAAAAAAAAACACAAAATCTAAATAAAACTCACCATAACCATCTTTGTTAATCTTTCCACTTTCCACTTTCCAATCTCCAACTCTGGTTTGGTCAAAATAAACCTTAATTTACTGAGTTAGTTAAAAAGAAACAGTTGTTGTATCCTTTCAGACCAGCTGTATAAACAAAGCACAGAGAGGCTATATCCTAACATAACAAATTGTTGATATCTAGATGTATGGAGAAATTATAAACCCATTACAAACAGATTAAATCTTATAATAAAGATAATCAAACTCAGCACTGATGTAATTCTGAAGGACCAAATGTTAATTTACAACCAAACTATCTTAATTTGAAACTAATTCAGACAAAACAAAATCGCTTTTATATGACTTTTATAGACATTTACTGCTTTACCAAATGGTTTATTGGATAAATTATCAGATTTTTAGAAATAGGTGACAGTAAATAACCAATTATTCCCTAACCAGCATTCCTTCTAAATTGCACTTTAATTTATGGTCCAATTAAAACACTGCAGACAGATGACTGACTCATTGTAAACAACCCAGAAACAGCTGCAGAGACTGATTGCTTTGTAGATACTATTAAATGATGTTTTGGACAATATGTCATATTACTAGTTTGAAATAGTAAAGATGCATTTGAGTTCAGTGTTTTTTTGAGATAAGGAGTTATAAATGTTTTATGATTTGCAAACATATTTACAGAGATGCAGATCAAGCAACAATAAACAATTTCTCAAATTTTAACTTTCCAATTCGCTTTCACTTCACACTAATTAGTATTTGTATATGGCACATTAATGTTACTTATGTTTGTATTTCTCTGTTCCCTCTCTTTTCTTTTTCTGTGTATTTGCTCTTCCATCCTAAATTCATATTTAAGGACACCTAACACATTAAAGACCACTCTCAGGCATCTGCAGGGTACAGCTGACACACTTGTGATGCTATTCAATGCAATAGTCCTTATTCTCAGAGTTATCATTTTGAGTTTGCTTTGCGTTTTGGGTGGGTAACTACATTCAGTACAATGGCATTGCAACACAAAGAAAACAACTCGCTGGGTTAGTAGGAAAAAAGTTGGTAAATTACCAACAGGATTTAAGCTTAAGCTTAAGATAAGATTTAAGTTTTTTTATTTAACTTCTACCAACTATATACATTGTATGTATGTTTGAATTTATATTTAATATTTAAGAATCTGAGGTGATAAATGTTTGTCCAGTTTATGATGTTTTTATGATGTGCATCTTGCTTCAAGTGTTGAGAGAATTTAAATTACTGCAGTAGAAATGAGGCCTTTATGCTCACAGCTGGATGTCTCTGATTGGTGGCCCAGCTAACGCTGTTGCCTGTGCGTTGCATTTCTCCCACTTTAAGGAACCTCAAACGGAGCCTCTTCTTGGTGAGAGAATTGTGTTCTGGCCTCTTTCTTCGGCTCTTCCTTCTTTATATTGGTGTCTAGAAAAATGTACAGTTTATTTTGGCAAATAAGCTCCTTGATCAACTTCCTGTTGTGTGAAAAGATTATTGGTGACAGTTTCAGAAATGTGTGTTCAGTATTTTGTAGATTGTGGTGCTTTTGAGATAACAAAAAAGTTCATTAAAGAAATTGAGTTCCAGCACACTAAATAAATCCTGGACACTGGGGAGAAACTGCTATCATCAATCTTAATGAACCAGCAGAAGTTGATTGATGACCTAATTTGACAAAAAGTAAATGAATTAACTTAAGTGGATCTGGCACCACAACTTGGGACAAGCTGTCTCGTTGATCCGTACAGACTTTTCAATATTCAAGTGACTGAGCTGTGCGCAGGCATCCCATTTTAATATAGACGTATAAAAGTACATTATTAATTTAGTATTTTTATATTATGTGGTACAGGGTCAGGTATCTCCAGTTTATTTCATGAAGTAGATAACATGTTAACAGCCCAGGAAACTGAAATTGAATCAATCTTAAAATGTATGATACATTTTGAAAATGACTGGCAGTAGTATATGTATTTTGTTGTTAATGGTTAAAACATGGAAAAACACCTGTATGGTGTTAATAAAAAAGAAAGGAGCTCTAAATCAATGTTTAAGTTGAGGTAAAGGACATAGTAGGCCAGTTTTGTGTCTGTGCCAAGTCCCAAAAACTGTGTAGGTTTGACAACCTCGGTCAGGGGTGCGATCTGTCTTCCAGGATTTTAGATACAGTTTTGAACCAGGTTGGGGTGCATACTGCAAATATGTCCATATTAACAAGTAATTTAATGCAATGTTTATTCTTAAAATCATATGTTTCTTAAAACAAGTGAAATCTCAGCTGAGGCGCAGAGCTGTTTCTACTTGGCTCCATTGCAGTTTGTGGAACAAGAGAAACGAGGCCAGGTCTTTTTAACTTGCTTTAAGAAAATGAGATTTTAAACTTGAGTCTAGAGACTAAATGACCTGTTGAGATGGTTTATATCACATTTATATTGGTGTGTAACTGCAGCTGAGCAACAATATTAGAGAAAGTCACAACAATGTTGTGTGTGACTTTTTCTTTCCAGCGTTTGTGACTAAACATTTGCACCACCCATTCCTCTTCTTTCTCACTTTCCTCCCTTGTTTCACTTTTTCTTTCTGCTGATACACTGCTCAGACCTAGCCCTGCAGTTACTCATAATTGCATTAGGCAATGTGGTGATTCAGCTAGCTAAGCGCACACATGCACATTTCCTGCTTCAGTGTTATATTGTGTAGGGTGAATTCCAGGCAAATATCCAGTGTGTATGTGTGGGTATCTGTGTTGATTTTGCGTGTGGTGTACGTGTAAAGGGCAGTAGTGATTTACCTGTATGAGCTTTATTAACCTTTCCTTGATGTACAGTAGATTTGTTCTTGAAGAATTGTCACTGTGTTATCAACTACTTGCCCAAAAAGTATGTGGGTGAGCTGTCTGTGTTTTCTGTGTTTGTCTAGTGTCTGTGCATTATGTTAAGTGTCCATATTGTAGTTTTCAAGTGATGCAAAGCAACATGTAAACATGTGACATGACACCAAGACATTCCCTCTATTCCCTCTATGGCGTGCTGTTTTTACATTTATTCCCAAATATCACTAGTCACCAAAGACTTTAATTTAAGCAACTAATCACTATTCTTCAAGTTATTATTTCCTATTTTGCATTATTGAAGTCTTTTTTAATGAGCAGTGGTCATAAATTTGGGTCTAATTATTTCCTTTAACAAAGACTTGTACCAGTTTCTGTTTAAAATATAAAAAGACAGAATAAACAGCCACACTAGTAGCACAAGACAGGCTAACCAACCGATCATTTTGATTTCACCAAAACTATATTAAAAGACAAATAACATTAAATTATAGTTACATTTTATGACCGGTAGAAGCCAGTATAAAATAAATGTTAAATCAGCAGGTCGTACTCCCTTGCACAGTACTTGTACAGTAAATGGCTCATTGTCTGTGACGTGTCTAAAAGTATTGTTTGAGTGTGTGTTTGTGTATCCTTGAATATTTGTGAATATACTTACATAACAATATGTGTATGTGTGTGTGTGTGTGTGTGCGTGCGTGGAAGTATAATGTGCTCATAATGTGCCTTTAAAATTTCATGTGTGTATGTGAACTTATATATTATGTGTGCTTGTGTATTGACAGTGGAGGTTGAGATGACAGCAGCTGCCCTTGATGTCGGTCAGTCTGACATGTTATGGATTTCCTCATAGAGCTGAGAACACAGACAACACGTGTGAGCGGACTTAACCCAAGAGGCCGACATGAAACTCAAATCAATCATACCTCTCAACCTGGCTCTTTCTCTCTCCCCAGGGTCCGTCTCTCCATCTTCATGTCTCTCTACCTAGCTGTTTTTCATCCTGCTTTTATATCTTACTTTCCATCGTCCTCATCGCTCCCCCTGTCTATTTTCTCTGTAGATCTTTAACATCTGTCTTACTCAGTTTCTCTCTTATGTTTCTTTTCTGTCTCCTCTCCTTTAACATTAAGTCTCTCGTGTCTTCACTTTTTTACTTTTGTCTTCTCTCTCTCTGTCTCAATTTCCACTTGTTACTCTTTGCTCTTACTTCTCTTCCCAGCCTCTCTTCCTCTCATTTCCCCTCTTTCTTTCCTATATATTTTGTGCCTTTCCTCCCTCACGTCTCTCCCTGACCAAAAGATAATCCACTGTGGTGCTAATACAGAAGTTGTTTTATTCAAATTCAAAACTTTTATACTTTATAAATATACTTTTTGTGTTCTACATGGATATTTGTTCAGTCAGTCATTTAGACTTTACACATCACAAACACAGAACATTCCTGTTAATTCACAACAGCACAATATTTTTACATTATAAATTGTGATTTAAGCCCTGCTCTTTTTCAAGCTAATTTTGGTGAACCAGATGTTTTCAGTGTAGAGTTTGCGTATGAATGGTTTTCTGTCTGTATGTGTCAGCCCCTGTGACTGACTGGAGTCCTGTCCAGGGTGTGTACCCCGCCTCTCACCCAGTGTCATCTAGGATTGGCTTCAATCCCCCCTCAAAAACAGCTACGCTGGTATTGAATATATAGAATGAATGTAGTTTTAGCATGGAGCACCAGACTCAATTATCTGCCAAGGACATACACACCATTTTGTGTCTACAGTGTGCTCTCATCCCTTGGCTAAGCTGACTAAAGGCCAGTTTCTCCTAAATGTATTCAATTATTGAACACCTTCCACCCCATCTCTCTCCCAGCTACCTCACTTTATCGCTTCCCCTTATTCCCTCTAAGCTGCCTCACTTCCCATTTTTCCTCTGACTTGTTCTATCTCTTTTTTGACATATCCTTCTTAGTCTCATATTTCTCCTCCTCTCCCACTTTTATTCTTCAAGCCGAGTGTATCTCGTCTCCATCTATCTTTTACCTTCTCTCATGCTGTCTTTCTTGCAGTTCAGTGGAACCACCATTTTTGTAAGATTACGGCCCCTTTGGCTCTGTTTCCTCTCAACCTCCAGCCCTACCTTGAAGACATATAAAACAGCTTGTCTCTCAGTCACGTCACACAAGCTTCCACTTCAGTATCTTGTTTGTGTATTTAAGAGCTTTCTGTGCAGTTTCATGTGCTGTGGATGTGTGTGTGTGTGTTATGTCCTCAGGCAGTGTCTGTGTGTTTTTGATGACTACATTGCAAAATCTCAGCTGCTGGGACATCACATAGTTATGGACACATTTTGATATGTATCCTGTTTGTGTGTTTGTGTGTGTGTGTGGGTCTGCAGGTGGTCCATGAGGCTTACACCCGGTTCGCTGAGGATTCTCTGATGCAGTCTGTGTGTGATAAGACCTCGGAGAGCACTGAGGTCACAATTAAGGTCAGCGGTGGAACCGAGAAGCAGTTTCTTTTTCACACAGAGGGAAGTGGGGTGACCACAAATATAATTACATTAAAATAAGTTATCAACATGCCATAAAAAAGAAGTATGTGATTGAAAAATATGGCTCGTTGTCAAAAAGACACTTTGGATTTGCAGACAATTTCTGAAAAGCAGCAAAACCTACATGAGTTTTACTTTGACACAGATCAGTCAACAACTCAAGCTCCATCTATTCATCACTGTATTGGTCTTGAAAGTGAAATCAGGCTAATAGGTCAACAAAACAGCAGGGTTTTTGATAAGATACAGAACAATTAGAGCAATAATACCTGAGAGTGAAGTCTTGATCTTGATCACGAGAAGGAGCTGCAGCTGAGTAATGTCTAAAACCTGATTACAAAACGCCTTTGTACTGTCAGGGAAATTGTCCTTCAAAGTGGTATGTAAAAAAAATCATCAGACAACAGAGAAATCATTAACCGTCCTTGTGTTTTAGATTGCTTGGCAGAAACTGGCTGCTACATAATGTCACCTCAATTCCAAGTGTAATTAAAAGGCAATCAACCTTACTACGCTCAGTAGTGGAACAGATTAGATTAAAGTTTATAGGAAGGACTTTTTGTGAAACTAACATAAAGAGAAAGTAAAGTGGTCGTGGTTCAGGGAGTTCTTTGAGTTGTTTGATTAGAGCTGTGCAATTTAACATAAAAGTACAGTAGCTTTCTCAAATGTGTTGATTCAAATATCAAGCAATATCTTGGCATCTAGTTAATTGCTGGACTAAATTTGGTTGAAAATGTTTTTACATGCCTGGCTTACATATAACTATTGTTTCAGCAGATTTTAAATAGTTAAGAAGGTACTCACTACATGTTGAAATAAAGTATTTGAAATTCTATTTAAGCAACAGTAATATATACCAAGACAAATAAAGTTTTAACACCAAGTCAGTGCTTACTACTTTGACAGTGGGCAGAACAAACAGTTATCAGACTCACACCTGCTATATCAAGGAAAGCTGCGTGCAGATGTCTAATTGTATGTAAGATGTAATTTATGTCCTTATTAGGTTGTGTCCTCTTAAATTACCCATGTCTACATCTTTAATACATCTTTAAATCAAATACATTTTCTGTCAACATACATAAATCCATTCCTGCAGAATGTTCTCTCCATGTAACAAGAAAATAAGTAGTGGTGGCTGCATGGCAGTGGAAGGTAAATCTATAAATATGGTCCTAGAAACATGTACATAAATGATTCACGCTGTTTTTTCACTGACCTAAATTTTTACCCCTTCTCTTTCCTTCCCTTCCTCCATCCTACGCCACTTTCCTCCTCCATCACTCCCACTCTGTTGTGGTGATCTCTTTTGTACTTGTCTCGCCCCATCCCTCTCTCTTTTCTTGTGCCTCCCATTAATTTCTGCCGCCAGCTTTTTGTACTTTTCCTGGTTTCTCCTTCCTTCTTCTCCCCTTTTGTTTATTATTATCTTCATCATACCTTCTCTACTCCCTCCTCTTTCTCTTCTTGTCTTTGCCTTTTGTAACCTCATATTCCATATGGCTTGTTTTTTGACCCTCACACTTCTGATGTCGTCTTCCTCCTCCCTCTTTTTCTGTAGGGCCTTGAGGTGTCCAAACCGGGCCGCTACCAGGCTCTCACCTCAGACAATTTTTTGGAGATGAGCGACTCTGGGGTGGAGTTCACCATGTCTGGCCTCCCACTGGACAGTGACACTGATGCTGCGATGAACTATGCCTCCCATAAGCCGCTTCTGAATGCCATCTCCCCTACAGCCGTGACAGGAGGAGTTCACTCTGACAGCCTGACCACAGTGTCCCCCCACGGTGACCTTAGCGCAAGCCGGACCCCTGACTCCGCCATGAGTGCCAGCCCTGCTTCCAATCCTCGCTCTCTTGCTGCTGCCACCCCCGATGGCAGCCTGCGTGGTGCTGCTTCGCCGGGAACAGCCTCCAGGGCTACTGCTGGATCGGATTCAACCAAGACAGAGGGAGGGGCGGAGAACGGAGAAGGTGGGCAGAAGGAGGAATCAGCTCAGAGCACCTGAGAAGATGCACCAGGGTGTATTTTTTTTAGCTCATGATCCTTATACAGTAACGACATCCATAACCATCTGGCTGCATTTCTGGGAACCTTATCATATTCAAACAACACCAAGTTCTTGATCATTGCATTTGAAACAACATCACAGACAAAATATTCATGCTTGGATCCAGATTTCAGTTTAGCCTAGAAGAAAATAATAAAAAGGCAGTTGCACAATGTGCCCTATACAAAATTGATGCACCAAATGAGATGCAAAAAAGAGCAAACCCAAGCTCTATCAAAAGAAGAACAAAGCAATTCTGTGCGTATGGAAAAAGCATGCATTTAAATTAAACATTAAAGTAGATATCATAGTTCACATTTACAGGAAAATGCTGACATTAGAGTAGATTGACTGCATGAAAGCTTCAATGGGCTAAAGAAGCACAGGCTCCAAAAGAAGTTATGATGATGTGAAAAGGGTAAAACACACTCAGCACTTTTAGGAAAAACCCTAAATAGGATCAAATGATTTTAGGTCTTGTTAAAAGTTTGTAAAAAAAAAAAAATAAGAAAGAAAAAAGAAAGAAAATACAGGACTTTGACAGTTTGACAGGTAGAGTCAGTAGACTCCAAGGAATCAGATATTATTTTCTGAGACCAAGGCCAACAACAGCAAAGAGCTTCTACTGTATTGAGTTGAATCTCAATGTATTGCCTCTGACAGCACTTTTGTTTGCTCTCATGGCATCAGACAAACACTGCAATGATTGCATTTCATTCCACCCACACTGACTCCATTATTAACAGTACAAGTATGTCAGAAAGTGTATCAGCCTTGCAGAAAGAACTGCTTGTCTCAGCACTCATTCACCCCTATCCATGAGCAAAAACCTCCTCAACTTATTCTATCAAAAAAACCTGCAAACTGAAACAAGCTCAGTAGACTGAATACCATCACTCCTATGCAAGCGCTGCTTGGTAGTTTTGCTTTCTCTCACATCTTGGTTGTCAAGATCTGCCACATTTGAAGGCATCATCTAAAGAATCCCGTTGAAATCGTCCACCTCATCTCACTCACGCTAAAGATGAAAGCCAGAGAAAACACCCACAAGAACAACAACTAACTGTAGAAACCATCCTCATCTATTTTTATTTTCCCCCCAGTGGAGTTGTCACAAGCCCTGTCAGAGCAAAATAAAATTCTGAGAATACTTCTGGGACTTTTGGAACAGCTCCCGAGAAAGTAATTGGATTCTTGGTCTCTGCGCAGAAGGACCGATCCACGGACGCCATAGAGTGAGGAGTGGTGATAAAAGAGACGACAGAGATGGAACAGGGTACTATTCAGGGAACAGATAAATGACTTGCATGATTTAAAGCCTCCTATTTTCATCTCAGCCCCCATCCATCGGAGGAGCGCTGATTATTGTAGCCCAGTTGTTTGCCAAAATGAAGTGACTGGAAAGACGCAGTTGGATCAGTCTTTGATAACGATGCAGCCTACAGCCCCAGCAGAATGAGACAGAGATTATGAGAGGTGTGTGTGGAAGGGGGTTCGTACAAAGCAACCATCAATATTAGACATTCTGTGCGCTGCATGGAGACATGATTCCTTTCAGTGCATGAAAAATAGGAAATGAAAAAGAACACATTCTCATAAAAAATCCTGAATTAATGATTAAAGTAATATCAATAACTAAAAAAAGTGCTGATGGTGCTACATGGATCCAAACCCACCTACAATCCAGTGACATTGATGCTATTATTGACAGTACCAGAAATAATATTACAACATCCGCTTAACCATTGAAGTAGGGAAGGTCAAATGTTTACAACCCCTCCAGTTTTTGTATTCAGCTACTCTGTGATCTTTAATTGAACCAAGGGCATTCAAATCCTAATAACTGATGGTTCATACTGTAGATTTGGTTAATTTAAAATGTTCTAAATTATATTTTTTTAAAAGACCCCTAATACAATTTTGTTTTTTGAGGATCTCCTCACAAGGAGACCTGGGCAAATCAGAAACAAGGGGCTCATTTAATAACACACTTAACAACAATAAACACACTTTATGGGAGAATAATAAAAAGAAAGAAAAGATACAAGTGATGGACCACAGAAATATAGATTAGAGAAAGTAGAAACAGTGATGGGACACAAGTTCAAACAAATTTAAAGAAAAGCACGGACAGAGTCAATTAGATTAAACTCTCACAGCTATAACAATTGCTTTTGAGTAATTAACACTTTCTTTGCAGTGGAAGAAGCCTGTGGGCTAATTCAGGTCACAGGAAACTGATTTACACCAAAGACATTTCACAGAATGAGAGCAAGACATCTCACACTGCTGAGGAAACTTTGTCAAAGCGCCAAAGCCCCCCCCCCCACACACACACATGGCCAAGCAGTCTATGATACTTGCATAGGGCTCCTGTATAGTAAGAGTTCAGCCCTTTTACACCTTTGGAGAATCAGAGCAGTATTCATAGCAACATCATTCATGCGCTTAACCTACTAAACTACACCAAACCACAGCGATCTTCATCATAACAAGGCTCTACTGTCCCAAGGATCCCATTTAATATCACTATTATTGTTGCCATTGACAGCTTAGCAGTATATGGCTACCTCATGCTGCAATTGAATTGATGTCAGCCTGGAAAGTCTGCAAGATTTACGATCTTTACCTCTAAGGGTTGCTAAAAGCAGTCAGACAGACACACAAGTTTGGTGTATGGACAAGAAAAGCACAAGATTTAACACACATAATCCTTTTGAAACAAGGAAGAGGTTCACATTGTAATTAAAAGGGGTGAAAAATAAGTAGCAGCTATTGTAAATACATTACGTGGATCTGCAAAAAATGAGAAGGCTAACTAGGTCCCTTTCTTTTTCAGGAAAATGTAGTTTGAATTGAGTCTTTAAATACTGCACAGGAATCATGAGTGTGTAAAATGACTTGCATACCCTGCTTACATGTCATAGAAGTGTTGATGTTGTACGGCTGTTTTATTGGGAAGTGCTTTCACTCATGCAGGGAATTCTTGACTTTCTCATATATATTAACACTAAGAGGCCACATCAACGCTCCTTTGTGTATGATAAAAATATCAGGTTGACTCAGATACCCTCTGATAATAAGGTTGTGTATTTAAGACAAAATAATGTTCAATTCAATTAAATCTAAAGCAATATTAATGATAATGGCACTGAGACATCGCTAAGATCCACTAGGAAAGTGGAATCTGAACTAACACATCAGTCACTTTTAATCATTCTTTTTTCCACTATTGTAAATATAAAGACATATGATATGCATGTTAAAAAATAATATATTTCTTATTGCAAGGCTTATGCAAGATTTTATACGATCAAAACGCTGCATTGATCCTTTAACCACACATCCACAGTTGGTAGAAAACTAACACGCCGGGCTGCAGATGTATTCAGCTCAGAAGACTCGTCTAACTCATGTCATGTTTACATGTTTGGGTCACAGAAGTGATGCTGTGTGAAATCCTTTCATCAAAATTTGCTTCAGCTGTGTTGGAGTAGAGTCGCCTCAGGGGTGCACTATTTGACAGTGTACCCCTCAGGTAGTCTTATCTAGACTGTTAATTTTAATTTTAAAATCCACTATTGTGTCCCTGAGCAAGACACTTAACCCCTAGTTGCTCCAGAGGCGTGCGACCTCTTACATGTATAGCAATTGTAAGTCGCTTTGGATAAAAGCATCTGCTAAATGAATAAATGTAAATGCTTCACAATTATGTAAAAAAAAAAAAAATGTATTTTTTATTAAAGCAGCAATCAAATGAAAAAACTATTTTATGTTTTTCATTTGTTGTTATAAAGTTGCTGATGTTGTGGAGAAAATTGATGATTTAAACATAATTCTCCAGCATTTTGGAAAAATAATAATTTAATGTCTCGCTGACTCCAAAACCACCTACATTTTGATCTGAGTTAAAATAGTGTATTAAGGACTGGACTTGCTGCATGTAATCACTGAGGCGAGCTGATGGAGGTTAGAAAATTGCTGTAATGTTAAGCTAAATGCTCATTAACCCACAATATCTCATTTCCTACTTCCACATGTATTCATAACAACATGCATGCATACCATCCATCCATCAATCCATCGTCAACTGCTTATCTTGGGTACAGGGTTGCGGGGGGGCTGGAGCCAATCCCAGCTGACATCGGGCGCAAGGCGGGGTTCACCCTGGACAGGTCGCCAGTATGCATGCATACATACAACAAAAAATAAGACAGCTTTGAAGTCGATAGGGCACCTTTGGTAGGTAGACTAGCTTTCACATATTGCTGTCCAATTAGTGAACAGACTGTAGTTACAAGCAGCTGAGTGGGAAAAATGTTTATGTCAGCCTCCCAGTTGTAGTCAGAGTCCGAGATATTTGGTATTTCTAAAACGATACAATAGCTTGCACTTGGTCCACCAGTGGAAAATGGCTACAAAGCCACCATTGCAGGCAGTTATAATTAAATAAAATCTCTTATTACCACTAATGCAATCAATTCAGCTAATAAAAAAGGAGATATACACTGTTTATCTGGTTTTAGTTTAACTTTAGCCACAAGCAACATAAAGCAACATAATAAATAGGCCCTTTATCTGGAGTGACTAAAAGGCAGCATAAAAGCTCCCAAGTTGAATAACAAGAGGTTTTCTGCTTCTTTTGCTTGAACATCGCTTGAATGCAGCATAACAAAGCAAATCAGCATATTACCCAGAATGCCTGAGTATTCCTTTAATAATGTAGGGGAAAATTACCTAAAATTGGAAAGCAGCACAAAGGTGAAATGTTTCATTCTTGACATAAATTACAAAGCCTCTGTTGGACGGCGCTTTAGTGTTTTGCAGGGTGAAGGGCCACGAGCCTCCAGCATGTTCCTGTTGGAAGAATAGTACTAAAGTTCAGACAATAACAGTTGATGAAGGCTTTATGAAAGGATTTCACTGTCATTCAACCTCATCTGATGTTTTCTGTTTCATTACACATAAGAGCTGGTATGCACAAAGCCTCTCAGAACAGAAGTGCTGAACCGTGTGTGGATAGGGAGAGATTTAATAAAAATGTTCTTTCAGTTCTGGTAGATTTGCTCATCTGTTAATCTACTATTCACAGTAATTCCCAAGAATATAATGAAAAATCATGAAATGTTGCCTGCAGTGTGACAGTTTGCTAATACCTTTGATCATAATAGAAACTTGCTTTCACCGAAAATATCAGAATAACTGTCAACTGCGGTTTCTGACACTGAGATAAATTAATTTTAATTCACTGTATAGCTATATTCAGTTACTGTGATTAAATTTAGTCTTATCTTTGATTCATGACAGATAATTGGATAAGTGTCACTCTAAGCCCACTCTATAATGTATAGGAAGAACATTTTTATGAATAAGGAACACACAATTTCAAATCAGGTGGATATTCTTTTGGACAAACCGGTCCCAGTTCAGTAGCACTCCTATTGTGCTCTTATCGGCTTGAAAAAATCTTTTGTAGTTCCCACACGTCTGTCCCCACCGTGATACTCCCAGCACCTGAGAATGTTTTTTGTACAAGAAAAAAACCCCTGAAATGATAATTCTAAAAATAACTTTCATATAATCAGTGTGTTTGTACTGTAGTTTGACAGAACAAGTGCATTTGCCGAAAAAAACTCACCTTCTTTGAATGAATGAACATGCTTGAATCATCGTCAGAAATTTTTGTAGTATCTCATTTAGCACCAAAAAGACTACTCTCGCTACCTGTGTGCTTTGTATTTCTCTTTACTCTGATATTATAGCCTATATCTGCTGTCCAAGTGTATACCTAAGAGTTAGTGTAACTGCAGCATGCTGACCTGTAGATTGCTTGTGGACAGCAGCCGTGATGCTAATAGCTAACAATGATAGTAATAATATGAATTGCAGTTTTCTGTACAGCTAGCCTCCCGAGTCCATCCTGATCTTGTTGCTGGGCTCTGGCCCTGGTTCCCCATGATCCTCTTGACTCCTAATATCACCTTTCACCGCCGGCAGAGTGATGGTTAAAGGACCTTACAAATGTTAATAAAGGTCACTGCCAATCATCTAGGGTGTTTTTATTTCTTGTTGCTGTCAGCACAGGCAGTGTAGCTGAAAACGAGAACCATTTCTTGGTGGAAATAAAAGGCTTCACTTACAAAAGAATCACTGTTAACATTTTTGCTTTCCAACTTTGTTGCATTGTTCATGTTTTTGTCTAAGGCATCTTTGCTGGGACATACTAATCTTTACTTTGCATCACTTCTGATATGACTTGCTTATGCAATTCTCCGATTCTTAGCCGTGAAGCTGATGTTTAATTAAAAGTTTAGAAATATACATGGTCTCATTCTAAGCAGCATTAAAGTTTGTGCTCCAGAGGTTTTTTTTAAATATTACCATCACATGTTTAATGCCATTCTATTTGCATCTACTAGTGATTTACAATTCACGTAATCTCTCTCCGAGTTGTAAAATGGTTTTGGGAAACCCCAGAGTCAGGATGGCTCCAAAGGCTAAATTAGATTTTATTGGATGTTTTAGCGCATGAAACAGGCAGGAGAAGTATTGTCACTGTCAATGTTACTGTTAAATATAAAAGGTTGTTTAGTTAACGTTTTAACTAAAAAAACTTTTACATGAGAAAATCTTTCCTTTTCACTTGATGAAAAAGTGTCTGCACATAATTTTATTTTCTGTAATCAAGTAATAATTGTCATATTTTTAGCTTTATAGTTTAAGGCAGGAATGTCTGTGTGGAGTAAAAGAAAATCATGCAGCTGACAGAGGAGTTAAAGTCCTATTGCTCCTGTCATAGCTCATGAGAGGCTATATAACACTGTTCATGTCTTAGGGGGAGGGGAAATCAAGATATGTATCTGTTTGTTAAATCTTTATGAATTCTGAATTCTTTGAAAACACAAATGCAGACTTCCTCCAGGATGATCTGGTTTCTCTGCTTCTGTACATGTGAGTTGGTCATGTGTCATTTTCAGCCCAACATAACCTGTATTTTTCTACTATTATGAATTTTTGGATAAAAGGGAGCATGTTTTCTGCATTGTGTTTGAGCTTTGATTGATTTAGTGGAATCCAGATCTATTCCAGTTTACTGTCATTGATGAAAAACGTACAGTAAACATCAAAACATGGATGTGTGTATTCCCCAGGATAGTTTCGGTTGAAAGTGAAAAAAGAAAAGCTGCAATGAGGCATTAGAGTATGTTATTCCTGTACATCTTAGATACCAGAAATTCTGGTCTGGTCACTGGTTTGTCTGCATGAAAGTCTCTGTCGTTACTTGTTTTCATTTTCATTTTGAAAGAAATCACTTGAATGCTTCATATCTAAGAGTTCAGATCTCATTTGATGTTTTTCCAAAGCTGGGTAATCATTAACTTTAACAATACTTCACTGCACTGCCATGAACAAGCGACCACACACCCACTTGTTTGCTTGAAGAATAAATCAGTGATTACCGGTGTAAGACCTTTTCCTGCACAGACTTTTGTAAAGCTTCTCTTTTTTCTGTAATGAATGAATAATTCTAATTAAATGACTTTTCAACAGAGCCCGAATCAAAAGATTTAGTGTGTGTCATATGTGTCACTGCTTTTCTTTCCATTTCATTCATAAAGTTATTTCCCATTTGAATTTCAGTAATGGATTAGCAAGCACACAACATGCTATGAAAGCCTTGTTACAATAAATAGTCTGGAGAAGATCTCAGTCTTCAGCCATTTTACAGACAAACAGCCCACGGTATGATCAGATCATGACCTGAAATTGAAGCTCTTAAACTTTAAGATTGCCTAAATACAATAAGAAGTAGTAGAAGCTGTCATAAGTAGAGAATAGATTTCTACAGTCTTGACTCTGGTTGATTGTGCTCCCACTGCCTTTACGCAGAGTGGGTGCTGCAGCTACAGGACTGCAGCTTACTTACATAACATATTTCCGCAATTTCCCCACTGTGGGACAAATAAAGGTTTTCTTGTATTTTCTGATCTTAACATTTTCTTAGCGCTTTTACTTATGAGAGAAAGTGGCTGGTAATGAAGTGAGGGGCACCCCTGCCGGCACAGCACACAATATATATATAATTTATAACAATTGTATACAGAAACATGCTAAGGATGAAACTCCATTCTGCTAATGAGTTCAGACCAGGGGTTTTCAAAGGGGGAGGCGGGCCTCCACAGGGGGCTCAGTGAATAGAAGAAAGAAAAAATATTTCATTAGTTATTACAAGCAGATCACATAGAATAACCGATGTGTGTGATTTGGTTAAAGATAGTATTGGGAAAGTTTACTGTCTTTCCCAGAGTCAGAAACTAATAATTGCCATACTCTGAAATTATGTAAAACAATAATATTAGGTTATCTTGACTTAATTAAGTGTCTGTGAGATCAAATAACATAATTATGATCCCATAGGTATCCAGGAATTGAGCAAAACTAAGCAGGTAAACTAACATGGTGAGCATAGGTGTCCACTGGGGACGCTGGAGACATGTCTCCACTAGTCTTTGAAAGCATTTATTAAAAAGGTTTTTTTTTTTTACACAATAACAAAACATGCAATGCAATGTACATATAGAAATAAATGCACATCATCCAACAAAGTAACTTAAAGTAAAAAAAAAACAACAAGCTACTGATTACAGCATTAAATTCCATTATATATTTTTTATTTTGAGTTGTCATCTGCCACTTTTGGATTTCCCTTTATATAAATTAAGACACTTCCACCATAAATTGGTGAGGAAGTTTTCTCCAGAATGCAGCAAATTAACTGTTTAATGCTTGAAATCTTCTGGGTGAGGCTATATATTTCAACACTGAACACAGCGTTAAAATATTTTCTGCTCTTGTTCTAGTGAACCCAGTATTGTGCATCGCCACACACCATAATCTGTCTGAGCTCTTATGTCCCCACCACTTTTGAACACAAAGTGACACCCTTGGTGAGGGGCCACCTTTTATCCAGGTTTTGTTTGAGGTGAGGCCCACAGTCTCAGATGGTTAAGACCATATAGTCTGTGGTTTAGCCTGCATAACCCGAGTGATAGCCTCTGTACCAGCTCTTTGACATGTTGGCTCCAGTTGTCCTCAGACCGGCCTGTCCTGCTCCCGCTGAAGGCGCCCTGGCCGCCAGCCAATCGGGGCGGAGCCGGATATGACGTAGATTCTAGCGCAAGGAAGCCCCGGGACTGGCGCGCCAAATTTCAAAGGACTTCCTCCTGGGAGGAAGGGAGGCGAAAAGCTGCACCGAAGTCTGGCAAGCAACGGCGGATAAAATCCTGCAGAAACAATAAAATGTATGTAAACTTGACGAGTTAAACCCGCTGGTTGAGCAGTCGACGGCGTTTTGAGGAGAAACTCACATAAACTCGATGTGAAGCTGAGTTATTATTGTAAGTGGCAGCTTTGACTTTCATTCTGTCCTACAAGGAACTAATGTCAGCTAACTTAGCTTACTCCTGTTTCTGACTGACCGCAGAGCTACGCTTTATCACCTCTCTTATTGAGCTCTTATCTCACCGTTAATCGACGTGTGCTTGAGTAGATGTGAAGATTACACGAGGATAGATGCAGATGTTGCTGCTAAAAGGAGGTTTTGACCTGACAAGCCGATCATTTCGTGTCGGTTATTGTTTCTTGCTTTGTGTCGTGATCCCATGATTTGTCAGTGAGTCTTCGTGCAGACGTGCATGCGGTGCATTACTGCAGCTAGCTGAAGTTAACAAAGTGAAGTTGACAGTTTGTATGATCTGTTGTAAATTTAACATCTATATGTTTCTGCTTCTGTCTGACTTTAGATTAATTTTGAAATGGCAAAACGTGTTTTTGTGCTTTTATGTCGTCTGTAGTAAAGTAAATCAAATTTATAAAGTCTAAACTTGTTTTTTTTTTTTTTTTTTTTTCCAGACACTAAGTAGAGTAATTAAGCAAAAGCCAGTTTTGCTTCAAGGACTTTTCTTTTGTTTTCTTTCAGATCAGACAGTCCTCAGCCGTTACACCCTGTCAGGCTTCCCACCTGTGAGGCAGCTGATGTCAATTGATGTCAGGAGCCTGGGATTTTAATCTCACTCACACACACACACATGCAGGCTCAGATGACAGCTGTTCAAACCTGAACATATTAAACGTCAGAAATCTTAAAGCTAAAAGTCACGGCTGTCAAGTTTTCTGGCAGGTTTACTTTTCAGGGTTTTGCTGTTTACTGCACCCTTTTGAATTAGCAGCACAGCAACACACAGGCTGTCCCCATTACTGAAGCTCTTTATTCTCAAATCCACCGTCTTATAGCCTCCTCTCCATGGGGGTTTGAGGTCTGTTTGAGTTTGAGCTCATAACACTGTGCAGACGCTCAATTCTACACTTCACCAACTTATACAGTTACTCTATATCTTCATTATTTATTCATGTATTCACAGCAGGACACAAGTCATCAGCTTTCCATACTAATGCAAGCATCTGTTGCTACAAGCTGCTGCACCTGCCTGTAACCTTCACAATCAGTGCTTCCACGCCTGTTTTTTAGAATATTTTATCTTGCTTCAATTTAGCTTTATGAAATCAGTCAGCACTCTTTGGTTAAACCCAAATGCATTCACTTTAAGTGCTGTGCACTAGCAAATATTTGCATCACACAATGGAATACAACCTTCTGTAGCTCAGGGCCTGTCACAGATAGGGTTGTGGCCTCTGGGTTGAGCAGGTGAGGGCTTAGCGGTGGCAGACAATCAAACCCTTCAGTCATGCTGTCCGGGGTGCAGCCATGCTTCCAGTTGCTTCGGATCGGTTCGTCAGCTGGAGTCTCGGCGCGGGACCTGTACACGTTCAGGCCGACGCTGAGCCACTCTGTGTTCCGTCTGGGCCGGGCGGCGGAGCTGTGTGACGTCACGCTGGACTCTACGTCGGTGTCCCGAATCCACGCTGAGCTGCATGCAGAGAAGGAGGGGAGCGGAGGTGACGCAGCTGCACAGGAGGAGGGCTGGAGGGTCCACATCAAAGACAGGAGCAGTCATGGTGAGAGCAGGCCTGAGTCACACACACCTACAAGTCAAGATGAGACGCACTCGCACCCCTAGACAGTCATTGTGGGAGAGAGGAAGAAGCAAAGTTACACACCCACTTACAGGAAATCTATGCTTCTACAGGAAAATACACTTTCCCACAGACACAAAGTGCAATTATTTGTGTGTGAGAAATAAAAAATGTAAAACAAGTCTTTGGCCCGCATACCCAGGATTGACAGGAATGCAGATACTAAGTGTTGTAGACTGGTGAAACAGCCTAACGCACATTTTTTGATGTGGGGGTGGCGCACACACACACACACACACACACACACACACACACACAGCCTTCTTCTGAATTACTAGGAGGAATACCAAAACACCTGCAGCCTGACAGGAGCCTAGCCACACAAACCAACACATACACGACTATTAACTGCCCAAACGCAGCTGTAGACATTCACTCAAACACACACATTGGGATCTAATTGCATCGCTGAAACCTCAACTTTTTTGAAAACTTTTTAATTATCTCTCCCACCAGGACTTTTATTTTATCTAAATGGTTTAGAGTTGCAGAATTTTCCCCCGTAATCCTCCCAGTTAGATTTGTTAAAAAAAAAAAAAATCTTCTAAATTGAGTTTGATAGTGATGATAAAGAAGTAATTACAGAGCGTCTTACCTTTTCCTTTGTGAATTGGAGCATGAAGCATGACACCAGCTCTAAATTGATTATATAGAAATGAGAATGAATTCAAACCTACAGAGGAGTGACAAATTAAAGTAAAAGACCTACAGTGTATTATAAAGGGCCACAGCAGCTTCAGTGCTCCTTGGCACACATTCCCCAAATCTGTTTAACTGTACCAAAAGGATAAATGGCGTTCTTCAGGTACATATTCCCTTTTTTGGTGTTTTTTGATTAGGCCAAAGTCAAACACATCTGTCCACCATCTCCCATAGGTGTCCAGTTAGGATGAGGTCTGGTGACTGTGAAGGCGGTAGCACGGGATTCACACTAGGTTGTGTAACCTGTTTGACACATCAACATTTGTCTGATCAGTTATTAATTTTTATCCCTTTTCTTTATTACCAGGATGTCTGTGATCAAAGTATGTTATTAAAATGTCAATAAAAGAATATAGAAAACAATAAGAATAATGTCATGTCAGTCTTGGCAATCGCTTGCAATGTTATCTCAATTTGAATGAAAACTAATATCTGCTTTAACATGAACTGTCAATAACTGACCGGGGATCAGTGTAGGACAACAGGTTTAAAAGCTGCCATAACCAAACATTTCCTCCAAAAAAAAAAAATCTGCCGCCTCCAATGGTTGCACAGAGCTCAGTGAGTCGACAGTATTTTTTTATTTATTTATTTTTGAGCCTTACCTCCTCGACTTATGGGCTCAACTAAGCTGTCAGAAAGTTGAGTAATTGCTTAGTTGGACAGAAAATAAATTAAACGATTGTTTGATAACTGATCAGTCTAGTCCACTGACTTAATTGTAGGGATTTGCTGCTTTTCCTTGTCCAATTCAAAGTCGGACAGAGCA